GACAGCAACTTGTCTGTTCCCCTTCCCCCAATTCCCCAGCACTGTTCCCATCCCCACAATTCCCCAATAAAAATCTTAAAAAAAAAATAAAAAAAAAGAATGTTCCTGATTAAGTGGTAAAACTTAAAAATGGTATTAAATCCTAACCCTTCAACACACATCTAATTAATATTCTGTGTGACAAAATGTGAAGTACACATAAAGCATTTCTGCAATATACAGAAGTATCGTACTTTTTATTAACATGATGCATTTTGTTTCTTGCTGCTTTGCAGGTAGATGTAAGTATAAAATTATGGAAAAATGGATTTACAGTCAATGATGACTTCAGAAGTTATTCTGACGGGGCAAGTCAACAGTTTCTGAACTCCATCAAAAAAGGGTAAGCAATCTTTGTAAATAGGAGGATATTTTAGGCATGTTCATGTGGAAGAACCCTTTTTAATGTTGTTTACACATCCTGTAAGGATTCTTTTTCTTTTATAAATTCAGATTTTCATAGGATGGGTTTTCTTAAGAGAGCCACAGTGACAATTTTGAAAAACGTGTAGGAATTTGAATTCTGATCAATCCAAATCTGACTTAAATTAATTCACTTTGCCAAGTATTAATACCACATCCTAGTTGTTATTTAATATTTATGTTTGAATGTTTAAATACCTTTAGAGTCTTTGACTTGTGATTTCCATTGCCTGTAATGTTTATTATACGTTTGTGATTCTGAGCGTTATACATGCTTGTCTTAGAAAAATTTTGAAAGTATTAAGAACTTGAAAATCACCTATAATTTCATTACCCAGAAGTAACTGCTATTAACATTTTTGTTGAATTTCATTCTGGCATTATCTGTGCATGGGCTTACATATAACATGCATATATTTATTTTTTAAAAACGCTTTTGAATTTATCTTGAAATATTTGAATATATTGGCATATTATTTTATCACAGTGATGACCCATAATTTTTGTATATACACTTAGTTGTTGGCAGTTTAGGTTCTTTCTTAATTTTACCACTATAAAAAATATCTGTGACTAATTGGTTGTTAAAAAGTAGTTATGGGATTAAAAAAAAAGTAGTTATGGGGATGTAGGGTATAGCATAAGGAATATAGTCAATAATATTGTAATAACTATGGTGTCAGATGGGTACTAGATTTGTTGTGGTGATAGATGGGAAGGGGTGGGGGCAGGGTGAAAAAGGTGAAGGGATTAAGAAGTACAAATTGGTAGTTACAAAATAGTCATGGGGATGTAAAGTAAAGCATAGGGATATAGTTAATAATACAGTAATAACTATGTATAGTGCCAGGTGGGTACTAGACTAGTCAGGGGATCACTTAAATTGTATACGTAAATGTCTAACCGTTATGCTATACACCTGAAATTAATATAAAATAATAGTGAATGTCAACTGTAATTGAAAAAGTGAAAGGCAGGGGGAAAGGTGAAGAGGAATAGGAGGTTCAAATTTCTGGCACAAAACAAATTATGGAATGTAATATACAGCAGAGGGAATATAGTCAGTAATATTGTGATAGCATATAGTACAGCGTCAGATGGTTGCTGAACTTATATCATGGTGATCACTTCTTTAGGTATATAAATGTTGAATAACTGTTGTATATATCTGAAGCTAATAAAATATTGTATGTTAGCTATATTTTTAATAAAAATCTTTTAAAAATATATCTGTGACTATCTTTGTATTTAATTTTTTTAAATAACAGCTTTATTGAGATATAATTATCCTACCATAAAATTCATCCCTTTAAAGTGTATAATTTATTATTTTTTTTAGTATATTCACAGTGTACAACCATAAGAACATTTTCATCACCCCGAAAAGAAACCCCGTATTACTTGTCATTCTCCATTTTCCCCTCTGCACAGTCCTACACAAACACTAATCTACTTTCTGTCTATGGATTTGCCTATTTATTGTCAAGTAGTGTTTCATTGTATGGTTATATCCCATTTAGTTTATTCATTTACCAGTGGATGGACATTTGGGTCATTCCCACGTTTTGGCTATTGTGAATAATGCTGCTATGAACATTCGTGTACAAGTTTTTGTACGGACAGATGTTTTCACTTCTCTCAGGTCTAGGAGTGAAGTTGTTGCTAACTGACTATGTTTAACTTTATGAAGAACCACCAAACTAGATTCCAAAGTGACTGCACCGTTTTACATTCCCACCAACAGTGTATGAGAGTTCCAATTTTTTCACATTCTCACCAACACTGGTTAGTGTCAGTTTTTTTTAATTATAGCTATCCTAGTGGATATGAAGTGGTTTCTCATTGTGGTTTTGCTGTGTATTTCTGTAATGACCAGTGATGTTGAGCATCTTTTCATGTACTTATTGGCCATATGTGTATCTTCTTTCAAGAAATGGAGTCGTTATTCAGCATAAAAAAAAATAAAATTTTACCATTTGCAACAACATGGATGGACCTAGAGAATGTTATGCTAAGTGAAATAAGTCAGATGGAGAAAGACAAATACCATATGATCTCACTTATATGCGGAATCTAAAGAACAGAATAAATGAGCAAACTAAACAGAAATAGACTAAGATATAGGGGAAAAAAAACTGAGAGTTGCTAGATGGGAGGGGGGATGGGGATGGGGGAGAAGGTGAAGGGGTTAGAAAGTGCAAATTAGTAGTCACAATACAGCCATGGGGATGTGAAATACAGTTTGGGGAATGTAATCAATAATGTTGTAAAGATTATGTAGGGTGCCAAATGGGCACATGACTTATTAGGGAGATCACTTCATAGACTGTGTAGATGCCTGACCAATGCACTATACATCTGAAGCTGAAGTAGAATAATACTGAATGTCAACTATAATTTCACAGAATGTAAAGTACAGCATAGGGAAAAGAGTCAATGGAATTGTAACAGCTATATATGATGTCAGAGGGGTAGGTTATTGGGGGGGGTATCACTTTGTGAGGGGTGTAAATGTCTATTACGTTGCTTTGTACACCTGAAACAAAAAAAAAAGAGAAATGTCAATTTAAATACTTAGTCCATTTTTTTTCTTTGCCTACTTTTAAAATTGGATTATTTGCCTTTTTGTTGAATTGAGATAGTTCTACATATATTCTGGACACAAGTCCCTTATCAGATATATGTTTTTAAAATATTTTTTCCCAGTCTTTGTGTTGTCCTCTCATTTTCTTGATGCTGTCCTTTGAAACACAAAAGTTTTAAATTTTGATGGGGTCTGATTTATCTGTTTTCCCTTTTGTTACTTTTGCTCTGGCATCATATCTAAGAAACTATCACTTAATCCAAGGTCTTAAAGATGTATTCCTATGTTTTCCTATAATTGTGTTTAAATTTTGACCAATATTTCTGATAACTTTCAGGATAGATTGCTGGAAAGAAAGCTAATGAATAAAAGGCATGAACATTCTTTCAGCCATTGATGCTCGTATTCATGCTTCTGCTTTCCAAAAAAGATATACAATATTAAATTTCTATCCCCATGACACTCTCTCCTTAGTGCATGTTTTTAGGTGTAACATCAGTTTACAATGCAAAGCCCCTTTTTTGGTCAGTCTTTATTTCAGATAGCAGCCAATTTGCAAAGTATATATACACATACGAAAGGTTGGACAATTAAGTTGATGAACTTTCCACCACGTAAGTGCACGTGTAAGTGGTGGAAAGTTCGCCAACTTAATTGTCCGACCTTTCGTATGTATGTCTGTGTATATATATAATGTATATACAGATATCAAATTTCTTTATAATATATAATTAATTTTGAATCATTTTCAAATTTACACAAAAGTTGGAAGTATAGTGCAAAGAACATTTTTTCCTAAAACCATTTGGGAGTATGTCGCTAGAGTGATGCCTCTTTAAGCAATTGCATTGTCTTACATAACCACAATACAACCATCTATTGATATATTACTACCATTTACTTCTCAGACTTGATTTAAGCGTCACTGTTTGTCTTAATATTGTCCTTTATAACAAAAGCATCCAATTCAGAGTCACACGTTTTATTTAGATGTCATGTCTCCTTAGTCTTCACAATAGAACAGTTCCTCAGTTTTCTTTAATTTTTTTTCTTTTTTTTTATAACCATAACACTTGAAGATTATAGACCTGGATAATATAGAATGTCTCTCAATTCAGTTCTATCTGATTTTTGTCTTCATGATAAGATTAAGATTAAACATTGTCAATAGGAATATCACAGAAGTAATGCTATCCTGACTTTCATAGTAATTGACTTTTTGCTTTTCTTGATAGTTTTACCTTTGCAGCATGGATCCCTAAACACTGTGATATCATCTTATTTGTTTTTTGAACATTATGTTAATGGAATGTGTTTATGTTTTGTGTCGCCTCAGCTTCTTTGGGATAGTTATCTATGTTGTTACAAATAGCTATAGTTGGCGTGAATGCGAGAAGCAATGTAAGAAAGATGGATAAATTTGATTATGTAAATATTAAAAACTTATATATATTTATTTACTAAAAGACACTATATACAGTCAAGACAAATGCCAAACTGGGAATACTTGTTACACATATGTCATATAAATGGAATATATGCACAATTCTTACAAATCAGTAAGAAAAAATGGAAAGAATGTGTTTGTACCATTTGACCTACTTTATAACAGAATCATAGTGTGCTTTTGGTAAAAACAAATGACATTCATATACTAACATGGCAAAGGTTTCTGTGGTATATTGCTAAAAGAAAGCAGTTTGCAGAATACAGAATAGTATGTATGGATTGATACCATCAGTGGCAAAAAATAATAACTATGTGGAGTTTTACTATATGTATAGAGAAAATCTAGGAGATGCAACATCAGAGTTTTATTAAAGTGAGAGTGGTATTATAAGGACTGACACTTTCTAAGTTGATATGTGTTTATATTTTTTATGCCTTATTTTTATAAAACAAGCATGTATTATTCCTAAATAAAAAAATTTGAAATGTGACATACAGAAAAGTACACAAATCACAAGTCTATATTAACAAGTTTGTATTATTGCAGTTATCAGAAAAAATCATTTTACAAAAGTTTGTTAAAATTAGTAATTTGTTAAAAATGTCACCGTGTAAGATCATTGCTTACATATCAAGTATATTCCATAACGTTGTAAATTTTCAAGTGCTCATTAGAAAGGACCCTACCTCTAAAATATCCTAAGATTCAACAGGTGTCTGCCCAAGTTCTGCTGTGCAGCAGGCCTATGTTTGTGAGTAAAACAGAAGAGAGGCATTTGTGGTATTCTAGACGAAGCCCCAGAGTGAGTCCAAGTCCTGCATTACTTAAATCTCTCTATTAGGAGGATGAAATGTGAAAGCATTTTGTAAAATTCTAACATGTTTCGTGTATTATTTGTCATTTCCAGAGTCAATCTATGTTTTCACTTAAAAATTGAAATGAGAGTTTGATGTTTCTAGCACATTTTTAGTCCTATGCAGACGACTATAAAAATGAAAATGATCAAATTGTTTAAATTTAGCAACATAGAGTCATCAAATATCTCATGACTTGAGTACTGTTCTAGATACTGTTGAAGAACTCAAGCTGTTCATGAATTTGTAGTCTTAAAAATTACTCTATATTGTTCTTGACTTTTGGTATTCGTACTGTTTAACTATATTTTTGTAAAATGCATTCAGTTTTTTTATTGTAAAGAATGTTCTATGCCTTTTATTCCTGTATATTTCTCAATTCTTTTTGCATATAGAATATGAAAAAACATATTGGGAGCTTTTATCACTTTGTTTCTTTACCTTCCAAGGGAATTACCTTTAGAATTACAGGGAACTTTTGATAAAGAGGAGGTGGATGTTAAAGTTGAAGATAAGAAAAATGAAGTATGTATGTCAACGAAGCCTGTGTTCCAGCCCTTCTCAGGACAGGGCCACAGACTGGGAAGGTGAGTAGGCTCCCTATCTGTGGTTTCCATAGTCAGCCCGTCACTATATTACTGCACAGACAACATATAGGCAGTTTATCATTTCTCCCACTGGAAATGAGATTTTTCATGTTAACGTTTATGAGGACTTCTAAATTATATTTACTTTAGTGTAAATTAACTTATGCTGGCAGTACACTGAAAAATCATGTAGGCTTTTTTGATTGATCAAATCAAAAGGGCCTGGCTTATTGAGGACATTAGGCAAAACTGGATGGATGAATCATTTTTTCTCCCTCACTGCTACCACTTGAGCTTACCATTAATGTTACGGAGTATATGTGCTAGCTTTCAAATATAGGGTTCCATTTTATACTTACCAGTCTTCATTATATCTATGCCTTATGACAGAATATGCAAGGAGCTTGGATATGGGATCACTTTTATTTTTATGAATTCTCATATATTAATTGTCAAGATTGGTTAAGATATATACATGTCCATCCACACATATAAAAATATCTGGATGTGACTTTCGAAATGATCAGGAAATACTTTGTTTCCTTTCTTTTCCTTTATAAATCAAGGACTAATCTCTACAGAGAGCTTATCGTTTCTTTTAGAAATTTTAACTTGGGGAATAGGTAAAGGTAAAGTCCATATTATTACCCAAATAATACTACTAACAGTATATTTATGTAGCACTCTACATGCTTGCAAATTACTTGGATATGCATAATTTCATTAAATTTCTACAATCATATGGGCATAAATAATATTTATGTTATTGAGGAAACAGCTGTGACTTACTAAAATCTTTCTAAAAGCTATACTTAATATAAAATTTTATAGTAATTGTTTAATGATAAAGTTCTGCTTAATGAAAAAACATGCATCTGACTTTGTTGTCTGGATTTTTTCAGCGCCACACCAAAAATTGTTTCTAAAGCAAAGAGTAATGAAGTTGAAAAGAAAAAGAATTTGTGTGCTGTCCCACTAAACAACCTGGAACCCAGCACTAGTATACAGATCTGGTTAGCCAATGGGAAAAGGATTGTTCAGAAATTTAACATTTCTCATAGGTGAGTCTTTCATTATTTGCCTGATTTTTTTCCCCCTAAGTTTAAATTTCATTTCTTCTTTTCAGTTCAGTGGAGTTCTTTTTAAGAACTAACCAAGGATCTTAATAAACTGTTCTCTAAATACAATATATCATGACAGTGGAAATTCTTGGACATTTTATGGCTTATCATTCTTATCATTTGACTAGTTTTCCCGTTTGGATACCTAATTTTAAAAGAATTATTTTTAATGTTTTAAATTCGATCATTAGCATTATGTACATATTTTTCTGTTCATGGAAAAAGAATGAAAATACAGAAAAGTACTGAAAGAAATTGAAGTCAATTTAAATTCCATCACCCAGAGATAATCACTATTATCAGTCTAATAGATTTTTCCAGTCTTTTATCTCTTCTTAATTTCCTTTTCATTTTAATTAAAAACAGGAACATACTGTATATAGGTTTCCTTCTTTATTCAAAAGCATTTTAAAATTTTGGGGGAAATGTTATACATATTAAAATATATACATTAATATATATATATATATCAATATTTATAAATAGTGAAAATAATAAAACACATATGTATTATACTACCTAGCCCAAAACATACCAATATACCTTATGTGCCTTTCCCTGATCATACCTCTTTCCTTCTGTGCAAGAGATAAACTCTGTTCTAAATTTGTGTTAATCATTTTCTGCTTTATTCATAGTTTTACCAAGTACATATATTTCCCTAAAAAATGAGTTGTTTTGCTCATTTTCAAATAATTAGTTTAAGTTTTATAACAATCATAAGCATACAGAAAAGTTTTGAGAGCAGTATAAAGAATTTTTTTTCCTAACCATTAAAGAATAAGTTGCCAATCTGATTACCCATCACCCGAAATTCTTCAGTGTATGTTTCCTACAAACAAGGACATTATCCCACATAACTACAATTCAGCCATCTTTAGATGGAAATTAATATTGATACACTTTTACAACTAATATTGGGACCCTACTCAAGGTTTGCCATTTAATCCGTTATCCTTTATACCCAAAGCCATTCAGAATCACACATTTCATGTAATTGTCATGTCGCAGTTTGAAATAATAGTTCCTTGGTCTTTCCTTGATTTTCATAGCCTTGACAGTTTTTAAAATTACAGGCCAACTCTCTAAATTGGATGGTTTCTCCTGATTATATTTATGTTACTAATTTTGGCAGGAAGGTCACAGAAATGATGCTTTGACCATCTCATTGCATTCTATCAGGTGGTATCATTTAATGCCCAAACGTCCCAGATATAGTCAATGGAGCCTCCTTAAAACTTTTGACATGTTCATATTATTCTTTGAGCATTTCCTTATTTTCTGGCTCAAAATTTTTTTCCAGGTTCATTCTTTTTCTAAGAAGCCCTGGTCCTTTTTAGTAGGCAGTGGTATTGAGAAGCCAGAATCTGGGTACCAGCTATACTGACTGTTGCTACTTGGATGCCAGCACTCCCAGGCCCTCTGAGTGGACAGAGCTAGAGGTGTCTATGCACAGGCATATATACGTACAGAGGCATGCAGATTTACATCTGTCTTTCTGTATCTTTGCATCTCAGAAACCATGAGTTCACAGATACCTCCAATTTCAATCCACCACGACCCCAGGGTTTTTTTCTAGTTTTCTTCTTCCCATATTTGTAACTGACTTCTCCCACAGTGAGAAGCCTAGCACCGCTTATTCTCAATATGTTTCTTTATTGGTCAGTTCTTCCATATGTAACCCATCTCCTTTTCCCGCTGCTGCCCCCTCCCCCACATGGAAGCCCCCCTCACCTTGCTTGGCCTTTAACTCTCCCTTTGGTTCTCATGCAGATCCTTCCTCTTCCTGCTGGGTCTCCCACACATCACCCCAGGCCGCTTCAACGCCCCATGCCAATGACCTCTTCACCCTCTCGGGCTCTGCTCTTCTGTACTGCCTCTCCTCCCCATGCCTGGGCGCGCCCTTTACCCCTCTCCTGTTCTGATACAACGCAGTTGGCTGTTCCTCTGTATGAACGCTCCTTTTATTCTGCTTGCGACAGCCTGCTCTGTGCCACGTCTCCCACCCCTCAGTTTGGAGATACTCCTCACCCCACTTGGCTTCTGACACTCTCCCCTGCACAGCTCTTCCGTGGGGACACACTCCTAGCCATGCCTGTGCGCAGAACGCCCCCCTCCCCTCCCCTTCATGGACGCCCTTCTTGTGTAGGTCAGGCTCTGACACCACGCTGGGGGGCAGCGTTCCACGTGGGTAGCTCCGGCTCCTCCCTCTAGGCCACCACGCCTCCCTCGCGCTTCTGCCCTGGATGCCACCCATGTCCTGCCCTCCTAACATGACCTCGGGACTGGGTTGCTCAGTGAGGAAAGGAAGAGGCAGTTGGGTTTTTTTTGAACTTCATAGGAATGGAATCATACTTGATGTATTCTTCTACAACTTTTCTTTCTTTTTTTTTTTTTGCTTAGTATTAGGTTTTTGAGCCTCCATCCATGTTGATGTCTGTAACTAGCTCATTCATTTTCATATAGTCCATTATATGAAAATAATTATCTATTCTATTTTTATTGGTAATGGTCCAGGCTTATATTTGTTTGTATGGATGTATCAATCAGCATTGCTCAGTAAACAGTCACAAAAATCTCATGGCATAGAATAATAAGTCCTACGTCTGCAGGTCATTTAGGGGACCTCTGATTTAAGCTGCAGGCCGTGAGTTTAGGTATGTACTTTGTTTCTCTCGTCTGTCTTGAATCACAAACTACCTGCTCTTGTTCTCATAGTAAGGGCAGAGGCAGAAGAGGGGTGGTAACACTAAGCAAGCATTTACTTGTCACTGTACTAACACCCCATTGGCCAGAGCAAGTCACATGGCCAAGTCCCTTTTGTTGCACCGTTTGTGGAAAAGACTACCCTTTCTTGACCCAGTGACTGTGGCATCTTTCTGTAAATCAGATGGTCTCTTCTGTATTCTCCATTCTGTTTGATTGGTCTGTCTATCTTTCATTTTGCCAACTCCACATTGTCTTAATCGCTGCTACTTCATAATGCATTAAAGTATTGCTTTTTTTTAAATGCTTATTTTAGCAGTTACCTAGAAAGTTGTGCTAAAATCTGCAGCTATGATTGTGAATTTGCCTATTTTTTCTTTTCTTTCTGTCAACATTTACCTTATATTTGTTAAAGCTATATAATTATGTTCATAAAAAGATAAAATTATTGTCTTTTTCTGATTAGTTGACCTTTTTAGTACTAACAGAAATGTCCTTCTTAATCCCTGATAAATTTGTGTTGAAATTTACTTTGCCTGATGTTAATATAGTCACATCAGCTTCCTTAGGATTCGTGGCCTGCAAGGTCTATCTTTCTCCTTCCTTTTAATTTCAACTTATCTACATATTTTTCTGTGTCTGTATTTTTAAAGGTATTTCTTGTAAATAGTTCGAATGTAGTTTTTATATCTAGGCCAGGCTGTCTCTTTTGGTTCCTGTTTTATGTTTTTGTTTTGTTTCTAGCTACCATCGACCGAGTGCTTTCTATGCGTTTGGCTCTCTTCAAGACATTTCACTTACATTACTTCTAAATGTCAAAACCACTGCAGATAGCTAGAATTACAGAACTGATTATCATAATAATAGAAGAAGCTTATGTTTAAAATGGAGCCCTGGAATGTTCTGTGATCTAAATTCCCTTAAATGAAAGGAGGGCAAACTAAACATGGGAAAATGGAAGGGAGGTTTTGTTATTCTTGTCCACATTTGTTTCTTTTTTGGGAAATACAATATTTTAATCTCAACTTCCTTGTCTAGAAAAACACATCTGACATTTCCAATAACAAATAGTCACCTAGATTTTTTTTTTCTGAGTGACTGAAGCATTTAAAAACTTTGACTAGCCAACAGTATTTATTAAATGATGATTAATTGGGCTTTGTTTTTAAGTTGGAATGTTTAGTGCATTTTTTCCAGTGATAAATGGTATCCTGAACTAGTTGGGGTTAAGGCTACCATCTTGCTCTTCGTTTTCCCTGTACCCCATGTCTTTTGATTCTTGCCTCCTTTTGAGCTTAACAGGTATTTATCCTCTTATAGCTTTTAAAATTTGCATTTCTGTATTATCTCAATGTGATCATAGAGATCACAGTATATATTTTTTAATTTTTACTGCACAGTTCCTTTAATCTTTACTGTTATCTTACTTTTTATATTTATATTCTTTGCCATAAGCTTTAGTCTTTAGTTATCCAGTTTTTGGTACCAAATAAATACATGGGACATGCCCTAGACGCTTTTGGTAACCTACACAGGTTTAATAGAGTGGCAATTAGTGAATTTTAGTAAATTGATTGATTGAATGAATGGAAGAATTTTGTCTTTTGTAATATGCCATATTTCATTAATTCTGAGTTGCACATTTTTTCACATTTTAGCAACTGTGAAATGGGGATGCATTCCATAGTTTATTGTTGGCTATATGGCAATTATGGTCACAATTTTCTTTGCCTTAACATCTGCCTCAAAGTATGCAGAACAAGTGTCAGCTGAAGGAAAAACATCCAAGACACAGTAGTGGAGCACTTTTCTAAAGAAATTCTATATCACCAACACACCTGATGATACAGAGAGTGGATATAATGTGGAAAAAACATGTACATTAATGACCAAATCAAAAGTGATTCAAAGGATCTGAGTCTGACTAATGTTCAACTATTAGGAATGACTTAACCATTTTATTCTACTTATATTATGGAAGCACATGAGTGATTTGACAAAGGTTTGTGTGACATTAAGTCAAAAGTGCTCTTTCAATAAATATAAAATAAAAATTCTAAGTGTTAAGAAAATACCTTGTCATAATCTGAATTTTTTTTTGTTTGTTTTAGTAATACATAAAATGATGTCTCTTAAAATCAATGACATCTTAGTTTTGATGAATTGCCTACACGTTTTCTCTCTCTAAATACATACACATATACTCAGGTGAACAGAACTTCAAGCTACCTTCAAGATTGCAATGATTATATTATATAGTGTTCGTTATACTAACTTAGATTCTACCTGCTCTGAGTTAATGAATTTTTCTAGTTGGATTTGAAGTACAGCATGACCTGGAATTTAAGCGAAACCGGTGTCTAGGATTACTAGTTGGAGCATTTCTGATCCATTCAGAGCTAGATATGTAGATATGTAAACTTTCTATTATAAAAACTTTGAGATATATACAAAAGCAAAGAGAAGGTAATGATCCGTCACTGAATTGCCACTGAACTATTTTTAAGCAAATCCCAGACTTCATATACGTGTAGTTACATGTGTAAATATTTCAGCATGTGTCTCTAAATGATAAGTACTTGTCAAAAGTGTAATCATAATACCCTTGGCACACCCAAGACAATTAATAGTAATTCCTTACTATCACCAAGGGTCAACCTTTGAAAAATACCCAAATGATAATTTCTATCATTATAATTTGACTATTCTATATATTAACACAGCCAGATGTCTTCACAAGTTATTGTTTTAAATTAGCTTGTTCAAGTTTTCATAATATCATATTAATAGTTTGTGCTGTTTTACAGGGTAAGCCACATCAAAGACTTCATCAAAAAATACCAAGGATCTCAAAGAAGTGCTCCCTTTTCCCTGGCAACAGCTCTTCCTGTCCTCAGATTGCTAGATGAAACGCTCACATTGGAAGAAGCAGATTTACAGAATGCTGTAATCATTCAGAGACTCCAAAAAACCACTGAACCTTTCAGGGAACTTTCCTAACATTGATTTTTGAAACACTAAGTGGAAAGTTTGCAGAGAAACGATGGTTGTAAGTGGACATACAAACCAAAATGGGGGAAAGGAAAAGTCAGATTCGCTGGACTTTTGGTCCAAATGCTATTTAACTTCATCTGGATGAGAAGATTTTTAAATAAGTACAAGTTAGGAAAGTAAACTATGACTGGAAACTATATTCAATGCACTGTTTCCAAAAGACTACTCAGAAAAATAGACTTATTTTCAAATACCAATTATTCAATGTAAGATATATTAAATAGCTGTGTCTTTTAAATCTTAATATGGTATAAATTAGCAAATATGTTCACAGCATCATTCAAACACCATTCAAAACAGCAGTGATCTATTTAAATGTTAGCCATCTCAGATTTTTTAAATAGCAGTATGTTAAAAAAATTATGCATAGCAGGTTAAAAGCGTCAACGTAATTATTTTATACCTCAGATACAATCAAAAGGCTGGAAGGAATTGCTTTTACCACAGCTATGCCTAAAGCTCAGAGTATTCCCAATTTGCATTCTCTAACAGCAAGATATTCTCAAGTATTAATTTGGCAACAGTATCTAAGATGTATTTTCATTTAAGAATAAAATCCTGTAGCTCAGTATAATTTTAGTATTAATCTGCCTATCCACACTTCTACATTTTTCAAGAAGTGTAATTTTTAAAAAATTCTTTTCTCTCCAGGAACCCCAGCCATTACCTATTGTATTTTGTTTCAAAAATTAGGGATTTGTTCTTAGCTAACATTTGGAGTAGGCCGTTGGTTTGCAACTATTTAGAATCTAATATTGTGTTGTCACATTGCTAATTAATATTTTTAAAATACATCATGTAAAGTATGGTTTTCTATTCCATACATGAGAATCAACCTGTGTATACAGGAAAGGATTATTTATTACATTATGATGTCAAGGAAAACACGGTTTGTTTCTTAGACTTTAAAACTGGTTAGACTTCATTATTTCACTGTCAGATTAAATGCCCTCGCCGGAAAAGCAGTTTAGGAAGCTTTTTCCGCAAATGATCTATTGAATTATATTTAAAGTGAAATATACAGTGAGTGTGCCAAAGAACTCAGTAGCCGTGCCTGTCAGCAGTGATGTTCACAGGGCACTGGATGACAGCAGGTAAGAGCAGTTCTCGAACTTTCTGGTCTCAAGACCTTTTTGTTTATGTGGATGATATATATGTTATATTAAAAATTAAGAGTTATAAAATATTCATTTAAAAAATAAACACATTAATGTAAACATTTTTATGAAAAAAAATGTGTATTTTCCAAAACATAAAAAGATTTAGCGAGGGACATGGCATTGTATTCCATTTTTTGTAATTATCTTTCCTGAAGACAGATGGAATCTCATATCTGCTTTTACATTCAATCTGTTGTGATATCATACATCATGGAGCCTCTAGTAAACACTACTGTACATTCATGAGAAAATGAACAAAACAACATCTTAGTAGGATTATGAGAATAGTTTTGATCTTATACTCCCCTGAAAGCTATTCTTACAAAGCAGTGGTCTGCGATGATTCTCAAGCATTAGTGGACGAATCACTTGGGAAGCTTTTCGAAATGCTTATTCCTGCCACCTACCACACATTCTGATTTATGGTATCTGGGACGAGTGCCAGATCCCCGAATTTTTAATCTCAAGTGATTCTTAGATCTGTCTGTAGCAGAAGAACCAATCTCGGGGAAATCCTACACCCAAGCTTCCACCCTAAGGAAATAAAAGCTGCATGCTTCACCGTAGACAGTGGAAGACTCCATTGAAATGGGGCTGCTACCTTTAAGTTTCATCTTCGTCCCCCAATTTGTTCTTAGACTGTTCCCCTTTAACTCTGAACTAATCATGACATAAACCTACACTTCTATAAAAGCACAGCTGAGACAAGGCTAGAACATTTCAATGAAGTTTTTATTAAAGGCTCAGGAATAATAACAAAAGGGAAATACATATCTAGATAACCTGTTTGTAAGATACTATCTTCTGTTTGAAGACCATTGTAAATGCTTTCTTTTCTAGCTCCCAACCTTCCACATGGTAGGGGACTGTCTTTTTATCAGAAAGAGAGGAAGGACAAAGGAAAACCTTTTCCTTTTGTCACTTACTCTCAGAAGTGAACAGATATATAATAGAAAATAAATATTGTCGGTAATGTTTACTGCAGTGGGATAACCCTCTCTAGGGAAACAAAAATAATGACATTCTTTAAAATACTGGGGCTGGTAAACTCAGATATAAAACAACATAAGATGGTTATTAATATATTTTCAAGAATCTGTAAGAAAGGGTTTCATACAGTCCTGTCATGAAGCATTTTATAATTTTCGTTTGTATAAGTATAGTCATTATGTGATTCTCCATATATTTCTATAAGGGAGCCTGTTGTTAGAAATATTGGTCTTGTACCTATAGAAAAGCCTCCTTTGTGGATTTTCCAGTACATAATTATTTAACCTAAGACCTTGGAGGTTTTCTTGTGTGAACATGTAGAATACACCCCAGTGAGAAGTTCCTATAGGGAGAGACCTGTCACCAGCAATAACCTTCATTTTTGTAACTGTGAAAACTTCCACTAATGTGAACTAGTCTCAGTTGTTTTTTTTAAATGAGAATCATCTGATACAGCTTTTTACCTGAAAGTTTAAAATTGTAAAGTTGTTAATTGAATGTGTAGAATACTCAAAACATGTTTAGAAAACATAAACTGATTTTGGCAAGGGAACGCCAACTGGAGAATAAAAAAGCATTTTGGTGTGGAATGTAATCTGACCTAAGCAGTTGTTTCAAAACCATCATCAGTTTCTTGAAAATCGTTAGGGCTGATATATAGAAATACATTTCTGATTTTACAGATTCTAGTTTATTGGTTAAATTACTGTGCATTATCCAGGTTATAAAAGTGATCTTATTCATTTTATATACTGCTCTCATTCTGAATATTTTTCATTATGTCTCATTGTGTTGAATATATGGTGTGTATGTATCTATTTTAGTGCCTTAAAGTTTTTTGAAAGCAATCTTGTTAATGGTTAAAGAACTTGTCTTAAGAATGAAATACTATTGATTAAAAGGGCCCATGAAATAATTTATACTTATTTGTGATAAAATAGTTACACATAGCTATGTTTGTCATTTTTATTTGGCAAAGCCATTCAGTTTAAGAATCCAACAGTGTTTATTAGGTATCTTCTGTTAACAAGTGTTACTTTCATTTAATACTCAGAAATTTTAAAATGCGATATTTTTAATACTAACTCAGTGGTTGTGTTTATTTTTTAAACCATCTTTTGTGTCCTGAGTTGAACTAGCATGGAGACTCTTTGGTAGAGTTGACTCTTTTGTTCTTTCTCTTCCTAAGTACAAACCATTTAATTAAAATATTGTCCATCACACTAAATCTTCAAATAGCAGTGGTTTATTCAGTAGACTAATATTTGACTCTTTGTCATTTGTTTTAAATGTATTTTTTGCACAGATAATTCATATACATTGTAGAAAATTATAAAATGCAGATACGCTTAAATGATCTTAAAATCACCTGTTATTCCACCATTCAAAGATAACCACAGATAACATTTTGGTGTGCATCCTTGGAGATATTTTTAAGTATCAGTGTTTAGTTTTAATTAGAGGCAGGCTTTTTGGTTATTGTTATCCTGCTGTTTATCGAAATCTAACTTATTTGTCTATTACTAAAAATTGCCTTAAGAACATGCTATTAAATGAAAAAAAAATAAACATGCTATTACTTTAAGTAGAACAGCCTTTAGGAACAAATGCCTTTTAATTATATTTCTGTGCAAAAGAAAAGATGGAAGGATTCCCCCATACACACTTTAAAATTAAAATTGTGGTAGTATATGCAACAAAGTACAAATACTGGGAATGAAGTGTTTCTAGACCTGCTAAAAATGCATATAAAATTAGGTAATTAAAAGATTATCCAAAGAAACTTCAGCTTGAGTATGTTTAGTTTCCCAGGAATTAAATATTTATCATATGCAATTATCCTTCCACTGTTGACAGAGCTGCCATCAAGAAAACAGAAGGTACCCATTTTGTAGGTTAAAAAATTGGTGCATGTTTCACTGTATATACAAATACTGAATCATTATGTTGTACACCTGAAACTAATATGTTACATGTCAATTATACCTCAATTAAAAAAAGAATTGAGGCATAGAAAATGGAATGGATGACTTGCTTTAGACTAAGTACTGTTTACTTTAGGATCAGTCTCCTGTGTTGTTAATCTGCCAGTCTCAACTGGAGTTAATAGGAGGTCTCAACATCACATTTGCTTTTCATCCAGCAGGAAGAAGCATACCCCTGCCCATTAAAACAAAAACACCTTCATTGGGATGTAATTCACATACCTTACAATTCACCCATTTACAGTGTACAGTTCAATGGTTTTTACTATACTCAGGATTGTGCAGCCATCACCTCAATCTAATTTTAGAGCATTTCCATCCCTTCTAAAAGAAACCTCATACCCATTAGCAATCATTCTTCACCCTCAGTTCTAGGCAACCACAAATCTACAACCTGTCTATAGCTTTGCCTATTCTGGACATTCCCTATAAATAGAATCATACAATATGTGTGATCTTTTGTAACTGGCATCTTTTCGCCTAACGTTTTCAAGGTTCATTCATGTCCTTTTTATTGTCGAGTGATAGTCCATTGTATGGAAACCCCTGCCATATTTTATTTACCCATCAGTTAATGGACATTTGGGTTGGTCCCACTTTTGGGTTCTCATAAATAATGTTGCTGTGAACATTTTTGCTCTTAAGCTTTTTGTGTGAACGTGTTTTCATTTCTCTAGGGTATATATTGGGTTGTTGGAAGTCATGATGTATTTTTTCTGTTTTTCGTTGCAAAAATGCGTCATGACTTTTCCGACAGCCCAATACTTAGGAGTGGAATTACTGGGTCATATGTATGCTAATTCCATGTTTAACTTTTTGAAGACGTGTCAGTTTTCCAAAGCACCTGCACTAGTTGGCATGCCCACCATTAATGTGTGATTTCTCCACATCCTCGCAACACTTGTTATTGTCTGTCTTTTTAAATTATAGCCAAGTGGAATGGTATCTTGTAGTTTTGTATTTCTCTAATAATGAGCATCTTTTCATGTGCTTATTGTCCATTTGTCTATCTTTGGAGAGATATGTATTGAAATCCTTTGCCCATTTTTAAATGGGGCTGTTTGTCTTTTTATTACTGAGTTCTAAGAGCTCTTTATACATTCCAAAGCAAATCTTTATGACTTGCAAATATTCTATTCTGTGGGTTGTCTTTTCACTTAGTTGTTGGATGGTTTGCAGCACAAAGTTTTTTCATTTAGATACAATCCATCCTGTGCTTGTGGAGTTCTAAGAAACAATTGTGGAACTCACGTTTATGATGATTTGCTCCTATTTTCTAAGAAGAGTTTTCTAGTTTTAGCCTGAGACGGAAAAGGGGCCACAGGTTAAACCCGATAAGCTCAGGAGACTGAAAATAACTACATAAGATGGTCTGAACTTAAAAATTCCTAACTAAAAGCGAGTCGTGGCAGGTAATCACATCCTTGGCCTGTAGCTTCCTTAACAAAGGCCAATCTTTATTTTAAAGGAGCCTGTCTGTCATCTTTTTGCATCTAAGACAACATACTCTTGGAATATCAGAGTAATCTCTCCAGACCCCCCAGGGGGCACAACCCAAACACCACTCTGCTGTCATTCACCGGGCAGAGCTAAGTTACAGGGCAATACCCATCTGTGTATGAGGCTGGAAAATGTGTACTTAAGGCATCTGATATCAAATTTAGCAGTTTATAAACCTATTCAGCCATAATCTTAATATAAGCGTCAATTCTATTGCTTTGTTTTTCAAATAAATTTACTTGCTGACTTTCACCCATGAGGATTTAGCCGGAGGATTTAGCGCAAACCGCCTCTGGTTCTCATTCCCTCAAGGACCCGCCGCAAGGAAAACGGTCCCCAGGGACTTACCTGCCCTACAAAACCGTGCACTTCGCAGCTTCCAGATTTCCGGCGCGTTGCTGGTGGCCAGGGTCGCACCCCGCCGGCCCGCCCCTCGCCGCGCCCACTCGGCCCAGGAGCCGCCCTCCCCGCGTATGATAACACCCGAGGGGCACGGCTGCAGGCAGAGCAGCTGTGCGCCATGGCGGTGTCCCCTGGAGGGACCCCAGACCCTGCCATTGAGCCGCTGCAGTCCCAGCCGGCAGCGCACACCCCGGAGCCTGGCTCGGTGAGCGCAAAGCGAGGGACGGGAGGGGAGCCGGGGGTAGAAGCCGGGCGGAGATGGGGCGCTGGGGTATTTGCTCAGGGGCAAAGGGCCCCCAGAGACCTTGAGGGCGTCTGATCGCAGCCCTTTAACCAGCCAGGAGCAGCACCCAGCCTTTAGTCTTTTGAACTGCCCCTAGTGAGGTCTGACAGTTAAGAGCCCAGAGGCTGAAGATAATTCGGGACCCCCAAAGAGAATAGCATGGGGAATTAAGTCAACTAGTCAGGAGCAGGGCCAGTCTCCGGTCTTGATTCCGTCTAGAGCTCTGTCCACCCCTCTCCAGGTCTTCCCAGAGCTCTCCAGAACCCTGGGCAGGTAGGACTTGCAGGTGTGCCTGATGGGACAGCCTCCCTCCCCCAGCCCCCAGGCCGGTGGTGTGGGCTTACACACCCTCTCAACCCTGGCCTTGTCGAGGCACCAGGCTCTCCTTTGGGAGACTAACCCAGAGATGTCCTTCCTGGTAGCCAGTCCCCAGAGTGAGGGTAGAGGGCAAGTGGGCCCCCAGGGCTGATGGGGCTGGGACTCATGCGCAAGGGCTGGGGTACTGGAGGGGAGTTAGCACCTCTGAGCTGTCTGCTGGATGCAAAATCCATTCCCCCCTCCAAGTGAATGCATTCATCATGGCTTCACTTCACCCCCATCTCAATTCCCTATGCTTTCTCTCAGGCACCTCAGAGCAAAGAATTGTGGCCCCCAAGAACGTTTGATAAGGAGTCTCTCTGGGGACTTTTATTTCCCGGTGAAATTTAGAAATTCAGGGTGAAATTAATGGCAAGAGAGAAAACTAACCTTGCTAATTAAGTGTCACTTAATTCTCATAAGAACTCTATAAGATTGTATCCTCTCCGTTGAACATGTGAGGAAGCTGAAACTCAGCCATGTTAAGTAACTTCCCCTGGGTCACACAACTAGAAATGGCAGATGCAGAATCTGAATCCAAGCGTGTCTAACTCTTAAAACTGGTGCTCAGTCAACTGTCAAGGGCTTATGATTTAAGTATATAAAACTGTCAAGATCCCAAGATTGTACCATATATCCAGTTTCAGCCGGAATTTGTTTTTCTGTCTTGTAAGTGCCTTCTATGTGCCAGAAACTTGCTAGGCATACAGAGGGTGCCAAAAAAAATGTATACACATTTTAAGAAAGGAAAAAATTGGATTAAAATTGTAATACTCAATATAAACTGATAACAAAAAGACAAATACAAGTCATGTGTATACATTTTTTTTGGCACCCCTGGTATTTAGGGGGAAACTAGAATCCCATTATGGGGTGGGGTGGGGAGGGCTATCATGGTGGATTCTGCCTATCATTAAAGTTTTCTAGAAGTTGAAATAATGTGCACACAGATGTCTGAAGAGGAGGCCATATCCTGTCTTGTGTATGGTTTTCTTCTGTGGTTAGGGAGAGCATGCAAAGGATATGATAAACCCTTATCTGGGAAGACCTTTCCTTCAAAAGAGTCCATCTGGCTATCCTGCATGATACCAAAGTGGGCGAAGCCATAGTCTCTCCACTCCCTCTCTATCTCCAAGCAAAAATGAGAAAGAAGGATTCCCAGCATCTTTCCAAGAAATCAGACTTTACACAATGTCTTCATGGCATTTATTCCTTCAAGAAATATATACCGAGCATCTACTATACGCTAAGCATTGTTCTAGGTACTGGGAACATGGTGGTGAATAAATGTGATAGGTCATGCTCTTATAAAACTTACATTTTGATGAAGAGAGGCAGGAAATAAGATTACAGTAATACCTTGGTTTGCGAGCATAATTTGTTCTGGAAACAAACTACTCGTATTGCAAGACATCACTCATTTACCACGTTAAAATGTATTAGAAATGTTTGCTTGTCTTGCGGAATACTCACAAGCCATGTTACTCACAATCCAAGGTTTTACTGTATATCAGGTAGTAAGTACAATTGAAAAAGAGACTTGAGTGGCCAGGGAAGGCCTCGCTGAGGTGACATTTTGGCTTAGACTTGAATGACAAGGAGTCAGCTCTGCAAGGACCTGAAGGAAGAGCCTTCCAGACAGAAGGCATAGGAAGTGCAAAGGCCCTGAGGCAGCAACAGCCATGGCCATTTTGAGGGATAGGAAGGAGACTCCCATGGCTGAGGAGAGCTATTTGAAGTGAAGTGGGAAAAGGAGTGGGGGCAGATCAGATGGCCTCTTGTAGGCTGTATGGTGAGGACTTGGAGTTTTATTTAAATGATAATGGCAAGATGTTGGAGGGTTTTAAGCAGAGAGGAGACAAGCTTCTATGTCATGCAAAGGTCACTTTGGCTGCTGGATGGAGAGCAAATAGTAGGGACCGAGAGCAGAAGCAGGGGATCCTGCTTTAAGCCACTTAAGAGGCTTTCACTGATGGGTTAGACAAGGGAATTGGGAAAGAGGAATCAAGGGTGACTCCTGGGTTTGTGGCCTGAGCTGCTCAGTGGACATTGGAGTCATTTAATGCAATGGGGACAACAGGGTTAGGAGTTGGTTAAAACAATGGGTGGAAATCAGAAGCTATGTGTTTGACCATGCTAGGCTGAAATGCCTGTTAGGCAACTGTGTAGGGCTGAGGGTAGGCAGTCGAATATTTGAGTCTGGAGTCCATTGAATATCTTAGGGCTTGAGATTATGTATATGTATCTGTATATACACACATTTGGGATCATAAATATTACTTTATTTCAGTGGTGGGCTGGTAAACAGTCTCTCCAGAAAAAAAAAAGCTCTGGTCTGCAATGTTTGTTGCTTTCTGTGGTGTAAATACTCTCACTGTGGCCGATTTCAGGCTGCTAGTTGTTCAACAACTGGCTGCAAAAGTCCCCTGGAGCCACTGGCTCATCAAAACAATCCCGCGAAGTTGGCAGGACTATTCCATTTGACAGATGAGGCTTACAGCTAGAAAGTGGTTTATTCATGGTCACACAGGGAGATGGTGGCAAAGTTGGGGTCTCCTGACCCCCAGTTCACTCTGGCCTGCTGACTCAGAAAATAAAACAGAGTACAGCAGAAAGCACTGAGGAGGAAATATAAGGAAGAACTTCCCCCTGGAAGTTTAGAGGTCATAGTTTAGGATTGGTTTTTTTTTCTGTCTCACTTCCCTTTAAGATGACTTGGGACAAATTAGGACTGAGAAGGTGCTGGAAAAGCCCTCAAGACACAGGGACCCCAGGATGCTTATGGAAGTCAGCGGAGTGTGGGGAGCTACTGTGTGCCTGTGGGGCTGAGGGCTTAGCTCCTGTGTCTCCCCCAGGACAGCAGAGCTGGTCGCCTCTCATTCTGTACGAAGGTGTGCTATGGCATTGGCGGGGTCCCCAACCAGGTGGCCTCCAGCGCCACAGCCTTTTACTTGCAGCTCTTCCTGCTAGATGTGGCACAGGTGAGTACGGACAGGAGCCGAGGGCTCCCTATTCTCATCCTCCTTGGTTTCTCATCCTTCCATCCCACTATCCTTGACAGGTAGCACTTTTGACCTAAGCCTGACCGCCCCTCCCCCCAAAAGAAAATGCTATTGAGGCCAACCTCCTCAAAGATGTTTATTGCAGGCTGTTTGTAGTGGAAAATGAGAAACAATATGAATGCCCAAAAACACAGAAGCAGTTGGATAATAACTTGTGCTATACCCATATATAATGGACTTATTATGTAGCCATTCAAAAGAATGGGTTAGACCTATATAACAGTTGACTTAGAGGGATTTCTATGAGGCACTATCAAGTGAGAAAAATTAGTTTTAGAGAAGGGTATATAAAATTATTCCGTTTTAGCAAAACAAAGACATGCCCCATATATGTATGTGCATGAGTATATGTGTGTCAGTACATGATTAAAAATGAGCATGGGGAAAATGTACAGAAAATCATGCCAGGCTGTTAATGTTGGCTATAGAATAGAATGGTGGGGGATAGATGGTAAGTAGAAAAGAAATTTTTAATAAGGTATTCATGATTTTTAAAAATGACATTGCATTTATATACAATTATAAATCGCAAATGTACGTATATAAATGCATGAAAGAATGATCATCAGAAGCTCCTGGCAATTGTCTCAAGATGGCGGGGTTTCAGATGAGCTTTGCTCAATGTTTTTCTGTACTGTTTGCATGACTTTATCATAAGTGTATCATTTATATCATCAGAAAAATCAATAAAACCTTTTCATTAGGAAACCAAAAAATCTACCTCCGTCAGCCTAGGTGCACCCTTCTTGCACGGAGGCCCCTCGGATGAGGGTCCTGCGTGTCTTCTCCAGAAGTGACGGGGCATGAGCAGCAAGGGAATGTGCCCGTGTGAGGCTGTCAACTCCCTCCGCTTCCCCTCTCTTCGCTAGTACAGCTGTGCCCTGAGAGCCTTCTGGACTAGTGTCCTGGGGAGGAGGCTGAATAGACCTTCACACTAGAGCGCTCACCCCAGCCAGGTGCCCAGATCTCCCTCCTGGTGGGGGGGCAGGGCTGGACACCCTCTCTGACTCTGTCAGGCCTTGTCTTTGCCTCCCCTGTCCATTTCAGATCCCTGCTGCCCAGGTGTCACTTGTCCTGTTTGGAGGGAAGGTGTCTGGGGCAGCTGCTGACCCTTTGGCTGGGTTCTTCATCAACAGAAGCAGGAGGACCGGGTCTGGACGCCTCATGCCCTGGTGAGCAGCCCAGCGGTCCTTTGGACCTGGCACCCACCTCTAGCCTGAGGTCACTGTGTTTGTCACAGCCCTGCTTCTTAGTGGAAAACCCTGTGGATGGTTAGCGGACAAGCTTGGACAGCAGGTGATGGGGCTAGAATGCAGGTGACGGAAACAGACTGTGTCAGACTGAGCCATGCAGGAGTTCAGACATCCCTGGGGCCTTCCCTTCACCAGATGGCTCTCCAAGACTCCCAGCCCTGGCCTGGAGGCCTAAGTGTGGCTAGGGTGGGCTGGAGGCCATGGGAGGTCTCAGAGTAGGTACCACACGTGTGCTCCAGGGTTCTTGATACAGGGAATGGAACCTCTATGCACCCAGTTATGCGAGAGTCCCAGTCCCTACTCCCAGCTCCCACCCTGAGAGCCCTAGCCCAGGGCTTTTCCAGGGGCAGAAGGCTTATGCCCAGAGGGGTGAGGTTGCTCCAAGCCCGCCCTTTGTGTCCCCCAGCTTGGTGCTGCAGGCACCCTACCTCCACTGTGCCCCCACAGGGTGCTGGGCTGCACTCCCTTCATTGCCTTGGCTTACTTCTTCCTGTGGTTCCTGCCCCCCTTCACCAGCCTGCGAGGACTTTGGTACATGACCTTCTACTGCCTATTCCAGGCCCTGGCAACGGTGAGCAGGTGGCCCCCCTTTCTGGGACTAGACCCCTGGAACTCCATTGTTGGCCAGTGGCCACTGGGAAGTGTGTGTGTGTGGCAGGTGTCCAGGAGGGTCCCACTGCCCGCACCTGCTCACCAGTATCTGGCAATCTACCATTAGCTTCCCCACCACCGGGCTGTGGGCTGGGTGCCACCTCCTGCCCTCAGCCACTGAATCGTGGCTTGAGGGGATTAGTGGGGATATTCCATCCTGGCACGGGGATTGGGCTGCGACAGGGAGCCCCGGGTTGGCGAGCTGGACGGGGGGGGGGGCATCTAAACTCCGCCGGCGCCCCAGTTCTTCCAGGTGCCCTACACGGCGCTCACCATGTTCTTGACCCCCAGCCCGAGGGAGCGGGACTCGGCCACCGCGTACCGTGAGCGCGGGCATCGGATGAGGGTGGGGGATGGCGCTGCCCTGGGTCCCCGCAAGCTCGGTCACCTTGAGCCCTCGCTCTGTCCCAGGGTTGACCATGGAGATGGTGGGGACGCTGATGGGGGCTGCGGTCCACGGACTCATCGTGTCTGGCGCCCACACGTCGCACAGGTGCGAGGACGCCGCGCTCCCGGGGCGGATCCCCGTCTCCCCCGACGCGGTGAGTACCCACACGGCGCCCCCCCCCAACCCCCGCCCAGGACCCTTCTACAGGTCGCTTCTTTCCTCTAGAGCCGCTTCTCCCCCAGGTCTTTCGGTGGTCGTTTGCGGGGGCTCAGCTCTGTACGCCGTCCTCATTCCGTCCCTTCTCCTGTGGCTGAGCCCATGAGCAGGCGAACTCCCGCTAGACCTGCCTCCCGCGCGGGTGCCTTCTAAACACAAATACGCAATGGATCGGCAGGCCATCTGGAGGGGAGGAGGCAGCCCCCAGGGAACGGACAGGAGTGGAAAGGGCCACGTGCAGGGGCACGGGAGAGGGCAGCAGGAAGGCTTGGTGTCCTGGCAGAACTCTGGGTAGAGCCCTTCCTATGACCCCTCCCACCCAGCCCTGAACAGGGGGCCCCTCACCCACCGTGTGAGAGAAGGGAAACCCCGCAGCAACGGGGCTTCCTCCCCCTCTCAAAGCGGGTCCTTCTTCAGCAATTGGGGCACGCATCTATTCCAGCCATGAAGTTCACCTTCTATTTTCCCCTTAAGCAAATGACATTACTATCCTCCAGAACCCCAGGAGTTATCTTTTATTCCCCGCTTTCTCTCAACCCTCCACTTCAACCTCTTACCAAATCCTGTCGATGTTTTAGGCCCCAAATCTCCTGCATACATTGCCATGTCCTGGCCCATGCCTCTACAAGCTCATTTCCTTCATTGTCTGGATGAGGGTGGAATGGATGATGGCATTGAGTTGGGGACAGGGAGACCAGCTGGGGTGTGGGGTGCCAAGAAGCGGGGAGCAGAAGGCTGAGAACTCACCCTCAGAGGCCCAGTGTTCAGGTACCTCTTGGTAGCTCCAGCTCTGTTATCACATGGACTTCACTTACAAGACACAAGTTCATAGCAAAAAGCAAGAACTTCAAGACAGCGACAACCTTACCCACCACCCGCTGGACCCTTCTGAGCATGAGGCCCTGTGCAACTGTGTTGGACCCACACCCCCAAAGCCTGCCCATCTCCCCCTTTGCTCCCCTCTATCGAGAACTGGGTGACAGTGGCTCCCACGCGTGTCTTAGTATGTATTCTATCACATGTGTATCTTCCCCTGGATGACAGATAGCACTGTCGCTGTTTTGACGTATGTGCGGGTCACTGTGCATCAGACTGTGCTGTAACTCTCTGCTCATGGATCTGTCTTCCTCCCACACTCCAAGCCCCTTATTGTGCGTCCACAGGGTTCACTTATCCATCGCTATAACCTCAGGGTCTAGCACACAGAAATCAGCAACAATGAATGTTTGCTTTTAAAAATGAGAGAGCACCTGTGTGCTCAGACCTCTGGTGGCATGGATGCATGCAGGAGGCACAGGATCAGCAGAAGGACCATCCTGGGCCCTTACTTAGCTCTCCCTCTCCTGCTGGGCTAATTGGGAGGAGGGGCAGCCAGCACCGTTGGACTTGGGCTGAGGGTCCTTCTGCTCCATTGATTGGTACTCCTGCCCTGTCCCTGGGTGTCCCTACCTCCATGGGTTGGAGACGTCACCCCCACCCCAGTTCTGTTCTGTCCCACAGACTCGTCTCTACTTCATTGCAGCCACTGTGGTTACTGTGACTTATCCTGTGTGCATTGCCTTACTCCGCCTGGGGGTGAAGGAGCAACCAGGTACAGGGTGCAGGCAGTGTGGGAAGAAGCTGGGGGCCGGGCTCCTCTTGGGTATGAGTTTTGGTTTGAAACTCTGCCAAGCCGAGATGTCACTTTCCTGTGTTGTAGAGCCCTCTGGCCCAGCCTCCAGCCAGGATCTGAGCTTCCTGGCTGGGCTGGTCCTCACTGTCCGACATCCACCCTACCGGAAGCTGGTGATCTCCTTCCTGTTCATCTCAGCAGCCGTTCAGGTACTTCTGGCCGGGCCAATCCCCATTGGTTCAGTTCAGTCTCTCATTCCCACCACATCACAGTTAGACTTGAGTTTCAATAGGTAGAGACCAGTGGCTGGTATGTGGCCTGGAGACACTGGTGCTGGGAAGAGAGAGGCCTAGATAGAGCTTGTGGTTTTGGGAAGGGTCAGGACCCAGACACTAGGAAAACTGTCTGGGATGGTGAAGTCTACCGACTCTGAGCTGTGCAAGGGGGAGGAATGGTGTTTATACCTGTGTCAAGGATAAGCATCCTTTGTAGGGAAGGAAACTGCACGATGGCAGAGTTCAAGGGCCCAAAGGGGAGGCCAGACTTGAGACCTAGGCCTTGCCCTTGACTTCTGAGTTCCTGCCATTCCCTGTACACACCTACTTCCTGTCAACCTCTTCAGATGGAGCAGAGCTACCTGGTCCTGTTCTGTACACATGCCTCCCGGCTACAAGACCATGTCCAGAGCCTGGTGCTAACCATCCTGGTGAGGGGACCTGCGGTGGCAGAACCAAGGTCACTTGGAAGCCTGAGTTGGGGAAATGTGTGGCCAGGGTTCTGGTGGTCAACATTCCTGACTCGGCTGTAGTCTTAGTGACCTGCATTCCAGCAGAGGGTGGAATTGGGGCCAGGGTAACACAGTCCACAGCCACTGGTTCCAACCAGGAGGCAAGTTTGAGGTGGGGTGTCCCACCTGAAGGGGCTTTGGGAACCTGGGCACAGGCAGCACAGCCAGGTTGTGATGGTTCTGTCTGTTCACAGGTCTCAGCTGTACTGAGCACCCCGCTGTGGGAGTGGGTTCTGCAGCGATTTGGGAAGAGGATGTCGGCCTTCGGGATCTCTGTGAGTGAGGCAGGAAGCAAGACATGGGGTGGTGGGAGGTGACCTTGGAGCCTGAGCCTCCTGGGGGCCAGCAGGGCGGATCTATATTCACTTGTATCTTCAGTGCCCAGCACAGCACCAGGCTTGGGTTTGTTAGTAAAGACCAGTGTGTTCGTGAAGGAGCAAGGAAGGAAGGCAGGTGCAGGGAGCAGCTAATGTGTCTGTCTCCACAGGCGATGGTGCCTTTTGCAATCCTGTTGGCTGCTCTGCCCACAGCACCCGTGGCGTATGTCGTGTCCTTTGTATCTGGCGTGAGCATTGCTGTGTCCTTGCTGCTACCCTGGTAGGCTGGTTGAGGGGAAGGGAATGTGGGAGCTTCGTGTCCTTCCTCACGGGTCTGCCCTCCTTCATGTCAACCTGTTGTCTCAGGCCCCTTGTGCCCAGCCTGTGCTGGGGAGCCACTCTCCCACTTGCAGGAGATGGAGGTCACCAGCTCTACCTGGGAGCCCTCTTACAAGAGCACCAGATGGCAGGAATGGTGGGCAGCTGGGGCGGGGGTGGAATACAAGCACACATATTGCCTGGCTCTCTGTGGGCCAGTCCTGGTCCTGGGCAGCCAGTCCCAGGATGACTCTGACTTGGTCTCTGGCCCCAGAGAGCTTGAAGGGATAACTCTGCAGCCCCCTCCCCAGGTCCATGCTTCCAGACGTGGTGGATGACTTCCAGATGCAGCACCAGCATGGCCCAGGCATGGAGACCATCTTCTACTCATCCTACGTCTTCTTCACCAAGTTGTCAAGCGCAAGTGCCCTGGGCATCTCCATGCTCAGTCTGGAGTGAGTCCCAGAGTTGGGCTGTACCAGAGGCACAAGACTAGCAGGGAGGGAAGAAAAGGTCAGAGTTCCCCACCTCAGCCAGCCAGGGGCCACTCATGAATCTGGGACCCAAGCTCTGCTCTTTGGAGAGTGTGGGGGAGCCACTTGCCCCAGGTTTCTCTGTGCACGTGACTGAGAGGGGCCTTTCTTGGGGGCCATATCCCTCTGAAGCCTCGGCTTCACATTCTCAGTTCTCTCTGAACTCTTCCCTGACCAGCCCATTCCCTCAACACTGCCTTCCACCATAGTTAGGCTGCTCTGGCCAAGAAATGAATCCAAGTTTCAGGATAGTGTGGAGGCGGGGGATCTGGGACCCTTCCCCCAGGAAGCCAGGCTCAGGAGGATCTGAGCTGGGTGCATGGGGCTGTTTCTCCAGGTTTGCAGGGTATAAGGCAGGAGCCTGCAAGCAGGCAGAGGAGGTGGTGGTGACTCTCAAGGTCCTCATTGGTGCCATGCCCACCTGCATGATCCTCATTGGTCTTTGCATCCTCATGGTTGGCCCTGCTCCAAAGGTGCCAAGCCAGGGCACCTCCTGCCAGCAGAGCCTTCGGAGGTGAGCACCCCATGCACACGGGTACACATAGCAGGGCTCCCCACACCCAGGGAGGCACACAGGTGTGTGCTGGTGTGGGATGAACCCGTCCACAGGTCTCCCTGCAGTAATTCCACCATTGAATAGTCCTGCCTTTGGAGGCTCTTTCCTTAGCTGCAGTGATGCCATCTGCTTCTGGATTTTCTTCTGCTACCTGGTCATCCCTGCTCAGGCTCCTTTCTTCCATTACCTATTGGATGGTGGTATGGGAGTGCTCCCTGTTCACCCATTCCTTTTGTTCTCCATCATCCCAGGCACCTCATTGATTTGCTTGACCTTGAACACCTCTTGTGCTTGGTGACTCCTATAACGGCCCCCCTCCCAGCCCCATCCCCTTGACTTCCTCCAAGTCCAGGTCTATATACATGTCTGGCTCTCATTTGGACATCTCCACTTGATAGCCCACAAGCAAGGCAGGAAGTTTTACTGAGCCCCAAACTGAATTCACCTCCTTCCCCAAATGTGTCTCCTCTTGTTCCCCCATCCCAGTAAATGGCACATCCTCCAGCCTGGAAGTTGAAACCTGGGGGTCATCTTCCACTTGTCCCCACACAGACTGTGCTGAGCCTTGTCCTTCTCCCTTCCAGAGCACCCATCCCGCTCAGGGGACGCTGTGCTCGCTGTCTGGCTTTTCCAGTACACTGTGGGGACCTTGAAGGCTGGGGCTGTGTTTATTCATTTTTATGTCCCAAGAGCCCCAGCACAGAGCTTGAGGCCAAGCGGGTATTGCAGTATCAACATGTCTGGTCCAGCAGAGTTTCACCAGCACATGTCCACATTTTTGCAGATGCTCGCACACTTGCAAGTATGAGCACTTGCACATACAGAGGACCACACAGGGACCCCAAGAAGCGGCATCATTATTGGTCCCTCTCTGCTCAGTGTGGCTGGTCTCAGACTCCAGCCAAGTAGTACTGACGGCATGCGTTACACTCAGGGAGGGACACATGGAGAGGAGCTGCCTGATGGGACTTGGGGAGACAAGCCTTGGCGCTTTATTCACAGGGCTGATGAAGGGGAGATCCTAGGAAGACAAGCAACAGCCAATGACACTTCCACAGGGGTCTGTGGCGGGACAGAGGCTCTGCCCCGCCCTCATTCTCCTCTTCGTCTTCTCTCCCTTCTTACAGGAGGACCAGCTACAGCATAGCTTAAAGTTCGAGACTTCTGTGAGCTGGAATAGCAGGAGCCAGTATCTTCTGGTCTCAAAGTCCCACTTCCTTCTCCAGCTGCTTAACACCCGTGCTTTGCAGCTTACACCTGACCTTTCCCCTGGTATACGGCGTCTTCAGTGACCACTCCAGAAAGGACTGGCCTAGGCTCCACCTGTCATTTCTTGCCTGCTGACCACAGAGCATCTCAGATAGGCCTGTGCCACTGACTACCAGCTCCAGACAACCTTTGAGCTGGAAGGCAGCCCAACGGCCGCTATTCCTGGAAAGAGGAAGCCCTAACTGGCCCAACCTGCAGATTCCCCATGGGAGCACCAACAACCTGCTCACCTGACAGGACAGACACACAGACCTCTTGTTCCTCCTGACACTCCAGGGGACATCCGAGAGAGAGACACCTCATGAACTGGCAGAAGGGGGACAGATGGACATGCTGGAGATGTCCAGTTAGGAGACAGACAGATGCAGAGGCCAAGAGACCCCAGAGAGAGCGAATGGGGAAAGCAGTGGGGTTGAGAAAGCTGAGCAGGGCCTGAGAGATGTTTGTCAAGCCTTTCCCTTCGTTCAGACAGGTTGGTGACACTCTGCTTCCGTAAATGGACACAGACTGATATCAAGCCACCAAAGATCAATCATTTTTATGAACAGTACTCGGGTGGAAATATTTTTCTATAATTTTCTCTTATAAAAGCACAGGAACCGGTTTTCTAGAGGCCATGTCTTTGGGGAAGAAAGATGCACAGAGATTTATTTTTTTTCAAAAACAAATTAAAAAGCTTTTCTATTGAGTCTGTAAAATGTCTCATCCCACCTCCTGGGAAACCCATCCTGAGGAAGGCAGGGGAGCAGCCTGATGTTACTGAACCTGGCTATGTCCCCTTAGACATACATCCCTGACTACGCATCTCTTCAGACCAGCCAGGGACAAACAAAACAGCCCTTTCCTGTTCCCTTAGCTTTCTCCTCTCCAAATAATCAGCTTTACTCTCCCCCCTCCCCCGGCACCATGGCCATGGCGCTGTCACCTCATCCTCGTCTGCCATCCCCTCCTTACCCATTCAACCTTGCTGCTGCCTCCTCACTGAGGAGATGGTGCAGCCTGGCGGGGGAGCTCCAGCATTGGTGAAAGGGAGATGTGGTTTTGGTGACTGGATAGAAGCCGACATAATTTACTGAAAACGCAGGAGGCAGAACAAGTGTGGGGAGAAGACAGGTTCCACTTTGGACATATGATAGTTTTAACTGTCCCAAGAAAGAAGAGTCTGGATGTTGCTTTCATCTTTTACCTATGTGATTAATCAGCTTAGTCAACAAATCTGAGCTTCCATTTCTTTTTTGAACAAATGTCTACACTATTACCTACACCTCGGGATGGCTGTAAGGGTTGAGATAATACCTGACCAAGGAAGCCCTCAATGACGGGTACCATGAATGCGGATCGCTCCCTCTCAAAACTCCTCACTCGGCTTTCACAACCCTACGCTTCTCAACCACCTCTAACCATCCATTTTGTCTTTTCCTTTGCTGCTGCTGCTTTTGCTGCTCTGCCATGGTGGCAGCTTCCCGGGGCCCTGGGAGCTCATTCACCACCACCTACACACCATTCCATTTCCAGCCCTGAGCTCCCCGCTGACCTTCAGGTCCCCAGAGCCAAAGACCAGAAGCCCATCTGAGTGTTCTTCAGACAGTTAAAATGTCATATGTCCAAAGTGGAGTCCATCTTCTTCTCCCCACACTTGTTCTGCCTCCTGCATTTGGGTCAATTATGTTGGTATCCAGTCACCCAAACCCAAAAACTTGGTGTCTTCTTGGTTTCCTCTCTCCCATTCACCCCACCGTCCCCATCCCCATATACACTGAGTGTGGATTAAGCAACAGAAAGAAACGGTTGCAGCTTGTGGGATATTATCAAATGGTAGAAGTTATCTGAAATTGGACAGAAAGTTTAACACCAGTATGGATGGGTGTGGCTCATAACACAGAGTGGACGGACATAACTGCTTGCTAGATGTTTGAGATGTGTATGTGTGTTTGTGTATTCCGGTGGGGCTCAGTTCAGCTGGGTACAGTTTTCTGTTTGCCTTAAGGACAAAACTGGTAGATAAGCAACAGGAAATTCATGTTATGCTCTAACTGTTCCCTAATATAGCAGTTGCTTTGGAACAAACTTGTGTTTTCAAAACAAACATTGTAACAGAATTGAGTGTAGATGTGTGTGGGAATAAATATATAGAAATCCCACATGGTCCCATAAATATTAAAGGAATGAAATAAATATTTTAAAATATTACCACAAAGAAAACACCAAATCCAAATGATTTTACAAAGTTCTATCAAACTTTCAATCAAGGATCCTTCCTATCTTATGCAAACTCTTCCAGGGAATAGAAAAAGACATATTCGGCAACTCATCATACCAGGACAGAATAAGCTTGACACCAAAACTAGACAAGTAAAAAAGAAAGGAAATTTACAGGCTAATCTTACTCATGAACATAGAAGCAAGAATCCTAAACAAAATATAAGCAAACTGAATCTGGCAATGTCTAAAAAAATAGATACATCAGGAACATACTGGGTTTATTCCAAGAATGCAAGGTTTGTTCAATATTAGAAAAATCTATCAAGTAAGATTTACCACATTAACAGATTAAAGGGGGGGAAAAGTATAATCTTGATACAAAACTAATCATTTGATAAAAACCTAACACCTATTCAATAATAAAGGTACTTATAGAAGAAAAATTTTAAATCTGAGAAAGTAGATCTACTAAAAACCTATAGCAAACATCCTTCTTAGTGGTGATGATGTTAGGAATAAGGCAAAGATACCCACTATCACTGCTGCTGTTCAATACTTTATTAGGGGATCTAGCCAGTGCAGTAAGTAATAGTATAAGAATTAGAAAGAGGGCTGGCCGAGTGACGCAATGGTTAAGAACCGGCTAGGGATGCCAGAGGGCCCCGGTTCGGATCCCACATATGAGGGCCAGTGACACTGCCCTCTACAGCTAAGATGCTGAACAACAGCTCAACCTGGAGCTGGGCTGCCATGAGTCACCGGCGATGGCGTAGGCTGCAGGCCCTGTGGCAGTGGGTTGCCATGGGCTACCGTGTGTAGCCAGCAGCCAGCATGAGCGGCCAGCAGCCGCCGTGAGTGGCCGTCCAGAAGCCGGTGACGGATGTGCCTCGCCTGGGAAGAGCGCAATGATGGTACCAACTTGGGCCAGTGAAGCAGCATCCTCCACTAGACTGAAGAACAAAACGACAGCAACTTGTCTGTTCCCCTTCCCCCAATTCCCCAGCACTGTTCCCATCCCCCAATTCCCGAATAAAAATCTTAAAAAAAAAAAAGAATTAGAAAGAAACAAAATTGTCAGTATTTGTAAATGATACTATGGCCTACATAGAAAGCCCAAAAGAATCTACAGATAAATTATTAGAATTAATGAGAGTATATAGCAAGGTAGTTGGATATAAAATGAACAAAAACAAATGGCACTCTGATATGCCAGCAATAGTTATAAAACATACTTTTTAAAAGATACATTAACAGTAGTAACAAAAAAATCTAAAGTACCTAGGAATAAATGAGCAAGACGTGCAAAGGCTTCTACTTTGGGTCTTTGGGTCGTGATGAAGTAGCAGAGACCAGATCTAGCCTCCGGAATGAAACCATAAGGAAAACTGGACAGGGGCCAGCTGAATGACTCAGTTGGTTAAGAGCACAAGCTCTGAGCAACAGGGTTCCTGGTTCGATTCCCACATGGGCCTGTGAGCTGCACCTAAGCTGAGCTGCCACTGAGCTGCCAACAGGTGGCAGGATGGCTCAGCTGGTGAGAGCACGTGCTCCTAACAACAAGGTTTCTGGTTCAACTCCCGCATGGGATAGTGGGCTATGCCCACCTGCAACTAAGATTGAACACGGCACCTTGAGCTGAGCTGCCCTGAGCTGCTGATGGGTGGCTGGATGGCTCAGTGGTTAGAGCTTGCACTCTTAGCAACAAGGTTTCTGGTTTGACTCCTGCACGGGATGGTGGGTTACATCCACCCGCAACTAACTGAACACAGCACCTTGAATTGAGCAGCTGGATGGCGACTGGACTTGGAGCCGAGCTAGCTGCGCCCTTCACAACTAAGATTGAAAGACAACAACTTGGCTGTTCCCTTTCCCCAATTCCCCAATAACATCTTAAAAAAAAAATCCTTACAACTCAACAAGAAAAAGATAACCCAATAGGAATTTGGGCAAAAGACACGTACAGGCATTTCACAAAAGAGAAAACTAGAATGGCCAATAAGACATGAAAGATGCTCAGTTTCATTGGCGGTCCAGAAGTAAAAATTAGGATATCAACAAACTACTAGCGTGTCATAAATTAGGAAGCCTTGAGCATTTAGAACAATCGGAGCTCTGGGACACTGCTGTTGGGAGTGAAAGCTGACATAACCACCATGGAAAAGGATCTGAAACGACACACCCTGTGCTCCAGCAATTCCATGTCTAGAGAGACCTTTCCAACACTTGCATCAGGAGATATTTAACCAGGATATGCAAAGCAACATTGTTTACAACTGCAAAAACAAAACTAGAGAAAAATCCAAATGTGCACGGCAGGAAAATGGACAAACTGTGGTAACTCAAAGCAGTGAAAGTAACAGTATATACACATAACAAGTATGAATGTGAACAACAATACTGAGTGAAAAGAAAAAAAAAGCACGCCACCGAAGACTATATACAATATAATACCATTGCATAAAGTTCAAAAACAAGGGAAAATAAACATTATATTGTTTAGGCCAAGGTGTATATGTGGTTGTGAAAAACTTCCTTTTTAAAAAGAAAAGGAAGGAAAAAATTATAATTACAACAATCAAGAGCTTAGTTACCTCTGGGGTGGAATTCTATGAAAACGATCTGGGGGGGACACGCACGGAATTTGAACGGTTTCTTGTAATGTTCTGGTTCTTAAATTAGGTAGTAGGTGGTTCATTTTATTATTAAGCTTTCCTATACTTTATATCTGCATGTATCAAATAGCACCTATACAAAATTTAGAAAAATTTGGGCCCAAAATGGGATTTCTATGTGCAAAATATTCTCAACATAACATTAAACAATAACTGAAAGAATCTAGCTCCTCTCTCCCTGTCTCCAAAGCCAGCAAATACTGGATTATCTTCTATTGTTCCAATGACTATAATAGCAGAGGCCAAGGAAACATCTTTTTTATGAGAGTTGTCATGGAATCAGATTTATTGTAAAGAACTAAATAACTTATATTCTGGACTGTCTACCAGAAGATATACAGAGACAACACACACATACATGAAATCAAAACTATTTCTGTATACCAGCAATAATCACAAAGAAAATACCATAGAAACTTTCATAACAGCCACACTGCCCATAAGTGATTTTATTGAAGGCTCAGTCACAGGCTTCTGATTATTCCAGGGTCCCTCAGGCCCCCTCTTATGTTTCAGTCGTGGGCTTTCATCCCACCCAGTCACTTCCTTTGCAAGTGGAGCCAGGCCCCAGACTGTCCTCAGCCACTGCTCTCAGGCCACTGATTATAGACAAGTAGCCTCCACTTCCATTATCCCAGAAGCTCTCTAATGCATTTGAACCACAAAATGGGCCTTTCCTTGCTTCTTTCCTATCCCAGCTTCATCTTCATCAACTGTAACAGGCAGATAGGAGTCCCCAAGGGTACAAAATATTTCTTTCCAGATAATTTTAAAGGGGAAAAGATGTCTATGTGCTAATGGAGCTTCTATGGCTGAAAAATCTATCTGCAGATGTGCCCTGACTAGCCAGCCACACACTGATCAATTTGTTATGCTAAAGTAATTGAAATTTATAATTGTGTTTGAAAGCAGTGAGAAGTGCCGGGTCTATGTGAAGTTGGAATCAGGGATCTTTCCACTATACTACGCTGGTACTTTAGCCCATAATTATAATAACTGATACTTTTTAGAACTACCTCAGATTCAGTGAAATGTCTAACTTTCTGAAATACTTTCTCTCAAGAGACTCTATTCTGGTCTCTAAGACTTGAATGGAGGGAAAAGAAAAACATCAAAATTAAAGTGACAATTTAACTAAAAAAAATTGATTACAAGGAGAAAAATAGATTTTTATAATCCCCAAACTGAAAAAAAGGCATCTCCGGGAGAAAGTCAGAGTGGCAACAGCACAAAACCATGCTTTACACCGCACTTGTGCTTGGCATCGCACTAGTAACATCAGCACATGCTTACGTGGGGTCCAGATGGGTCAAAGCACTTGAAATGTCATTGAAGTTTGCCCAGGGCCAGTTTTCAGGAGTTTCTGGACCTTTTTCTGCCAGAATTTTCTAAGGAAGCGAGTGGGTTCAGTTTAAATTCTAGGAAATCCAGCTAACATTAGAACTATTTCCTGTTCTAGGTACCCCTGGGAGCAGAAGTCAATCGGGTTTTTTTTTTTCTTCCTTCGAGCTCTGATGATTCCTGCTGGTTTGGGGGTAAAATGAACATGCTGGAGTTTATGTTCTCCCGTACTCCTTACCCTCATCTTTGAGCCAAGGGAAACATCTATAGACAATGCTGAGATACCTTTTAAGTGCTTCTAAGACAGCGTTGACACAGTTTTGGGCAAGGGACAAAGCCTCCGAGAAACCGCAAAACACAACCCATATGGTACCATAATATTGTTTTGTTCTGGGAATTCTGCCCTTAGGAAAAAAAACCACAGTCATGAATACATAAACAACCACTTTCTGAGCCATCTAACCAAAACTGAGCTCTGCTACAGAGCAGCGAGCCTCAGCCTGGGGGAACGGGGGAAAGCGGGCCGAGCCAACCATGAACCATGGCAAGTGCTTCACCTCTGTGCAACAGTGCAAATACCAGCTGTGGAGTCCACGGTGATAAAGAGATCTTGTTTGCAATGGTCTCATCTGAACAGCTATGCAGCAAATACTCCACTTAAAAATACCAGGCCATACTGCCTAAATGGTTAGAACGGCCGGTGGTATCTAAACTTCGAGCAGTAAGGTCTCTAAAAGACTTCAAGACCAGGAATAGAATCAAGACTTTGAGACAAACAAAGAGTCTCTGAGGATATTTGACAACCCGGAGCTGCCATCTCTCACGACTATTTCCTGCGTGCCTGTGAAAGTTAACGGGATGAAGCCTTCACTATCAGCAGAGAGAAGGATCCAGCGGGAGTCTGCAAAGTAAAATAAACACATAGGCAATTTAGGATATCTCACCTTATTCTATAAAGAAAAACAACAAATATGATTTTTTGAGAGGAAGAATACACTAGTCGATAATATTGAACCTGATCATCACAGGACTTCACAGAGAATGGGGAGATGGAAGGACCAAAGGTCACATAGGGTGTGGTTACATGTCAGGAAGCGGGTGTTGACTTAGGCATAGCAAAGGGACGCACATTTTCACTCAGGCGAGGCATTTATTACTCAGTGGTATGCATGAGCCTGAGTCTGCACACATTAGGGGTTGTGTGCGAAGTGTCCCTACCTTATCTACATGCTGTTAAGCAGTTTCTCCAGAAAATATGTGAAGTTGGGAACAGCCACTCTATCGACGAACCTTTTTATTCTTTAGATCCATACCAACCTCTAGACATCCAAGGGGCCTGAGGTGACTAGAGCAAGACTGTAATGGCCTGGGTAATCCTGAATGGTATGTTCCAGGGAACGAAAGGCCACTGGCATGACATATACCTGGTTGGACCTTCTCTGGTTCTTTCAAGTCTACTGTCTTACCTTTTGACCCTATAATTTTACTTCTGCAAATCTATACTTTCCAAAAACAACATGTGAACTATGCAGAGAGGTTTTTATTACTGTTATTTATAATAGTGAAAAATTGGGACCCATCTAAATGTCAAAGAAAACACAGCAAAGTTAAAATATGGTACACCTCAGAATGGAATATTAACCCCACCCAGTAAAAATACAATTATGAAGGAATATCATAAATGTATGTGTCTAAATAGAAAAATGCTGATGCTACAATGTTAAGGAGGAAGAATGAAATGAAATTTTACGTTCCATGTAGTGGCTATTATGACAAGAATGAGGCATAAGAAAACCACCATCTGATGCAAACGTGGGCATGGTTGTCAGTCCCTCACCATCCAGGAGTGTCCTTCACGGCCACATTTGCTGCGCATTAAAACCACTCCTTTAAGGAATATTCTCCAATATTGCTATGATCTTTATGTTTTAGTGCGACTGGAATGTTTAAGGTTTTTATGTCATTTCTTTGCTATTGTTACATGCGGCTTTGTAACTCTTCTAGTTTTTCAAGTGCATTTAGGTTTTCCAGCGAGGCTGTAAGTTCTTTAACGGAAGAATTTGTATTTCCATGTGTTTGATGTGCAATATATTATGGGTATATAACAGGCTTGGGTATATAGTAGGCAATTCATAATACCTGTTAGCTGTCTGGTGAATCACTCAATGGTTGGTACATGTCATTTTCATTACCAGTGAAAGTTACAAAATAGATGGCAGAGGCAGGGGTGTTGGGTAGGGTTAACTGCTGAATTTCACCTACCATGCAGCATTTCAATAAGAGAGAGGCCAAAAGTCTGCTGAACTGTTTGGAGTCTTAGTTTGCCACTGCAGAGAAGCACATCTCTTTTTTCAACAACAGAACCTGCACCATAAGGTTTCTTCAAAAATAAAAATACAAGTTGTTAAACCAATTGCAGAAGCAATGGAGTTACGATCTCTTAAGAACAGAAAGTGTAAAGAATTTTTTTAAATCCTTAGTATCAGACTTCAGTTTTACATATGGAGCTTTTTGCTGCACTATTTAACACAACCAAAGGGTCAGAACAAAACAGAACCCCTGGCTTACTTTTCTGTTTGCTCTGCTTTTCCCCTGGGGTTATGTCTTTATCCCCAGGAGCTGGCTGGTGTTCCTAGGATCTGACTAATAACAACGGGATGGTGGATGGCCACCTGAGAGGCACAAGCTGATGGTGAGAAACAGGTGCTTGGCCATTTTCCGTATAACTACGAAACTTCATGTTTTCGTTAATGGGGAAAAATATGACAAGAAAGATTGCCTTAAGTGGTAGAGTAGCAGAGGATTTGCACAAGTAAACAAACTGGTCAAAATTCACCTAGCTTAGAAAAAGTACAAATGAAAATGATTTTTAAATTTTAAAAAGTCATATTAGGGGCGGCCAGTTAGCTCAGGTGGTTAGAGCGCAGGCTCATAACACCAAGGTTGCCGGTTCGATTCCCACATGGGCCAGTAAGCTGCGCCCTCCACAACTAGATTGAAAACAAGGACTTGATTTGGAGCTGATGGGTCCTGGAAAAATACACTGTCCCCCAATAAAGTTAAAAATATATATATTAAAAAAAATAAAATTAAATAAATAAAAATAAAAAGTCTTATTAAACATTAACTCATCTTTAAAGATGGTTTCAAATATCCTTAAAGAAAATATAATGATAGCTCTAATTTAAGTCATATTAAGAGCCCAAAGGTATAATCACAGACTATAGAATAAAAAATATAACTTCTAATTATATAGTATTTGAAACATCTTCAAGTAAGCATTTGAAGGAGAGTTTTATTAGTAAGTTATGTGTCTAACTTATTTTGTTATTCAAATTATCACCACTCATTTTTTTTGACTGCTGAGAAATATAATTTCAATGATGAAAGATAAGCTGTACTACACTTGTAGCAGATGAACTCAATATGTCTACTAGTAACATTTTATTTTATTATTTTATTTATTACTTATGTTTTTAAAGATTTTATTGGGGAATTGAGGAAGGGAACAACGTTGGGGAATCGGGGAAGGGGAACACACAAGTTGCTGTCCTTTTGTTCTTCAGTCTAGTTGTGGAGGACGTCGCTTCACTGGCCCATGTTGGTGATCATTGCGTATTTCCCTGCTGAGGCAGATTGGTTGCAGGCTGCCGGCCACTCACGATAGCTTACAGCAGCCCCACTGCACCCTACGCTGTCGCTGGTGACTCCCAGCAGCCCAGCTCCAGGTCGAGCTGTTGTTCACTATCTTAGCTAGCTGCAGAGGGTGCAGTGTCACTGGCCCTCATGTAGGATCCAAACCAGTGGCCCTGCTGCTCAGAGCTCATGCTCTCAAGCCAACTCTTAACCTACGAGCCACTTGGCAGGCCCTAGTAACATTTTAAAAGCTGTCACATTAATAAACTGTAAGGGCCACAAGCAACTAATAATTTATTTAAACTCATGAAATGTCACTTCAGAAATTATAGGGGAAACTCTTCCTTGCTTCTGATTATGTTTTCCTTTTATTTTTCGCATTACAAAAGGATTACATATGCTCAACATAAGAGAGTAAAATATAACTTTATAATGCAGAAAGTAAAGTTCCCAAAATTCTACACTTCAGAGGCAATTACTGATAACAGCTTGGTTGGATGAGTTCATTATAAACTGAGAAACGGAGGAATTGAAGAGGCAAAAAAAAAAGCCACATTTCTTTTACTTAAAAAAATTCAGAATTTCACATTTACAAATGTTTAAAAACTAAAAAGATATGTTCTTGTTTGATAGAATTACTTACAACTAACTATATCTGTGGTTTTTCTCTAAGGGTTGGGTTATAGAGAATTTTTACTTTCAACATTAATTATTCCAATATTGTGTTGGTTAATTTTTTTTTCTCAATGAGCACATATTACTTTTGTAATTAGGGAAAAAAATACTGTGCAGCTGTAAAAAAAATGAAAAAGCTCTGTGTACTGACATGGAGAGTTCTTAAGAATATACACATATTATTAAATGGAAAAAGAAAGATGCGAAACTCTAGATATAGTGACCTACTTTTTGTGTAACAAAAGGGGAAGTAAAAATATATAGAAAGATCTGCTGGTGACTGCATAAAGAAATAAAATTGTGACCTATAGGGGGTGAGTGGAGCAAATTAAACAGGGATGGGGTGAGAGTAAAACTCCCAGTACATATCTTTTTATTAAAATACTGTTTGCTTTTTAAAAAAAGTAAATGAATTACCCATTACAAAATAAAAAGGGAAAAAGAGAAAATTTTTAAAAAATCACAGAAGGAAAAAAAATCCGAACTAAATTTCACATTTGTAGACACTATAATCTAAAAAAAATAAAAAATCTATTTACTGAAAATATACAAAAAACTTCATGTGTTTATAGAAAAGCATTTAAATGACTACTTTGGATGAAGACAATGTGACAAAAATCCTCGTCAAAAATCTAGAATTGAAATGTTAAATGTTTATAAACATGTGTTTCAGTTACGTTTGGTACATGATATAACTAATATTCTTAATGTGGGGGCTGGCCGAGTGGCGCGTTTGTTAAGAGCAGGCTTGGGACGCCAGCTCTGAGCATCAGAGCTCCGGTTCGGATCCCACATGAGGGCCGGTAACACTACCCTCTACAGCTAAGATGATGAACAACAGCTCGACCTATAGCTGGGCTGCCGTGGGTGCTGCAGTGGGCGCCATAAGCTACCGTGTGTGACCGGCAGCCAGCGTGAGCAGCCGGCAGCCAGTGTGAGCTGCCTGCCAAGAGCCGCTGTGAGCAGCCGTCTAATGGCTGGGACCTATCTGCCTTACCTGGGAAGAGCGCAATGATAATACCAACTTGGGCCAGTGAAGCAACGTCCTCCACAACTAGACTGAAGAACAAAAGGACAGCAACTTGTCTGCTCCCCTTCCCCGATTCCCCAACACTGTTCCCCTTCCCCTGATTCCCCAGCGCTGTTCCCTTCCCCCGATTCCTCAATAATATCTTAAAAAAAAAAAACAATAAAAAAATAAATAAAAGTGGAAACATATTCAAATTGCACTTCCACTTCCAGGAACCAAACCGACAGAAATAAAAGTACAGATACAAATGGATACATACAAGAATTCTATTGCAGCACTATGTGGAGTGGCTAGGAACTGAAAACAAAGTGAATGTCCATCAACAAGGAAAAGGCTGAATGAACAGCACACTCTCAGCAATAAGTAAAGAGTGCACCATACGACCCTATTTTTGTAAAAATAGTAACAAGCCACCCCCTACCTGTATATCTACGATACAAAGATCTGTCTGTGTAGGACTATATAAGTATGAAGGAAGCTATGGAAGGATCCACATTAAGCTGCTGGTTAAGGGGGGAGGAGCAGAGCCAAGTTCCATGGGGAAGGGAAGTGTTCATGATAAACACAGATATGATACGATCCCATTTATATAATATATTTGCATATGCATACAGAAATATATGCATTAAAATTTTTAAATCAATATAACCTTTCTTGTAAATGACAGGGTCTGCATTGCATAAGGAAAAATTTTCACAATGAAAGAGCACGATTAAAAAAAATCTTTTTCTAAATATACCCTGCTAGAATAAGTGCACTCATTCATGTTTTCACACCATACGTTTGATGACATCAGTGTATACTGGTTCGTGTGTCCACATGGTTGGCAGGCAACCAACCTGGAAAGGTCTAACAACTTGCCTGTTACAACATGCCCTGTTCAATTAGAACACCATCTTCTTCATCAATTAATTTTTCTGGCAGTACCACTGGCTGCAGGAGCTTTTATGGACAGTGGTAGCTCCTCGAAGGAGAAATTACCTGATAAGTGATGTGGACATAAGGCAGCTCCTGTGCGAGTGGATACACTGGAGAGGATTTCTTTTCATTGTGTCGGAAGTCTGTGAGTTCAGAAAGACATTGCTGGACTTCAGTTAGGTTCCTAGATATAATTTTCAGTTCCTCGGAGAGCTGATAAATTTCCCTTTGTAAGTTCTCTCTTTGGGGGAAATTAGGAGGTTCCGGGGTGCTGGTGTGGTCTGCTGTGCTGCCGGATCTGGGCAGTGTCACTGCCCAGTTCACAGGCTTGGCATCTAGAGCTTCCAGGGCTTTGGAGCCATCCCAGACACTGGAGGGAGGCCTTTTGATTTCTTTAATCAGGGGACTCCCAGGCCCTCCACGGTGACTACTGTTATTAGCTGTTAACAAGAGCCCTCTGTTTAGGTGACAAAAATCTGGGGAAAGATGTTCAATTAGCTTTTTTCTCTCTGCTTTGTTTAACAGAGTACTGCAAGTAGAGGAGCCACTCCGGTTTTTGCTCAGTGTTACTGGAAATAAGTCTTCCGACATTATTTCTCTAACAATCAAGCGAATGACATACTCATCAGACTCTGAAGGAGGAAGAAATGCCAAATCAGTGGATTTTTGGTTTCCTACCAAAATTAATAATAATTTATCTGTCAAGAAGCATATGCCTTTTGGTCTTTCACTCCTCTCTAAATGAATTTGCTGGATGTTTGGCATAAACGATGGAATGACAGAATAGATAAAAATTATATTACAAGTATTAGAAGCCACGGCCACGACATGGGCTTTAAGGTTAAACGCTATTAGATCAGGAACCAGAATGCCCGGAATGGTGACTTTTCTGGTCTGGGTAACCTCATTCTCAAAGGTTACAAGGACCAAATGTGAAGAATCCAGACCAGTTCCTGTCAAGTTGTCCTTTTTCTTTAGACAAATAAGAGCATTACCCTCAGACTTAGATCTATCGAACTGTATATGAGTTAGATCCAAAGGGTATGAAGAGGAAGAAACTGATGTTTCAGAATTTGTTTCAGAAGGGACTGCCCGCTTATACTCAGAGTGCACTTCATCAAAAACTGGGGAAGTATACAGACAAGTGTCTTCACTGCCAGGTGGAACATCAAGTGTTTCAGATGCATGTAAGCCACAGATCTTATCTAGTGGAAGTTCGGTGGCTATGGCGACCTGTGAGCCCACAGTGGCTCCGATGCAGCGCACACAGCTGTCCACATCAAAGACTGAGCAGAAGGAGCACCTATGGAGGGTCTTCTGAGCACTGTCCCAAATATAAGAATGCAGGCTGCTGCCTACTGCCACCACCAACCTCTGGCCATCCTGGGTCCAACATGCACAGTGAATAAGGCTCTGGGTACCGTGGTCTGCTTTTACCTGGGAACTGTCACAGTGAACATTGTGGCAAATGGAGACATCCCGTGCAGTCAACACAGTCAGGACAGCACTTTTTGGGTGCCACACACAGCCTTGGGGAAGGAGAGGGGATGACTCTCTAATCTCACAGGTCTGAGACATCAGCCATTTGCTTGTCTCTGCAGAGCTGGGACGCAGCTGCCACACAGTGACATGCTGCTTGTGCTGGACAGCGAGCAGAGCGGGCATGTCAGCTGTACCAGGTGGGGCCCAGGACACCCCATACACATGTTCAAAACGTCCAATGACCTTTGAGTCCCCAAACCTGGCCTCTCCACATTGAAGATGTACATCAGTCAGGACTACCTGATTCCCATCGGTCCAGGCAAGGCCGTGAATTGGGTGTATTGCTTGATATAATGCATTCAGCCCAGTCCTGAGAAGTTTTCCTTTTCCCAATTCCATCTTTTCTGATAAAGGTTATCTGAAATAATTAAGAAGGAAAGCTATACTCTGAGAATATAATCAGACAAATCCAGAATGTAAGACAACTGGCTTTATACCTTTCACAGATCAATATTGTGAGGGGATAAAAGGATAGGAGGAATGTGGCAGATTCAAGGAGACTACTGAGCCATAAAAAGAAATTCAATGTATAAACTCTGTATCCTAAATGGAGAAAACAAAATTTTCTACAAAAAGTAGTTTTAGAACTGGGGACATTGGAATATGGAATGGATAAGAAGTCAAACAATTAAGTTTGCGAACTCATCCTAGAAAAAGTGCCACATACCTCATTGCTGAATGGTCCTTTTGAATACCCCTTTGAAGTACCCCCCTTGGGGAGCTATGCACCGACACCAGCACCTAGTCCACCCTTCCAAGCAATATTGGAACTCTTTCTCTGGAATGGCCCTCAGAGCTGTCATCATATTACCCTTGATGTCCTGAATGTCATCTAAATGTCTTCCTTTCAATATTTCCTTTATCTTCGGGTAAAGAAAGAAATCTTGGGGGCCAGATCAGGTGAGTAGGGAGGGTGTTCCATTACAGTTATTTGTTTACTGGCTAAAAACTCCCTCCCAGACAGTGCCGTGTGAGCTGGTGCATTGTCGTGATGCAAGAGCCATGATTTGCTGGCAAAAAGTTCAGGTCGTCTAACTTTTTCACGCAGCCTTTTCCACACTTCCAAATAGTAAACTTGATTAACTATCCAGTTGGTACAAATTCATAATGAATAATCCCTCTGATATCACAAAAGGTTAGCAACATCATTGCAACAAGTTCACAAACTTAATTGTCAGACCTCATATTAGAAGATATTGCAGGGTTAATCATTTTCTTAAGTGTGACCATGATATTGCGGTTATGTAGGAAAATGTCCTTATTGTTAAAATACGCATATTGAAGTATTTGGGATAAAGTGTCATGACACCTACAATCTGCTTTCAAATGCAAACAAACAAACCCCAAATTTTATACAGATAGGCAGCAAGCTAAAACAAATGCAGCAAAATGTTAACTGCTGAATCCAGATTGAGGCTATGTCAGTATTCATGGTACTTTCAACTTTTAAGCTAGAGAATTTTCAAATTAAAAAGCTGATGGTCCAGCCGAGTGGCACGCTGGTTAAGAGCTGGCTTGGGAAGCCAGTTCTGAGCAGCAGAGCCTTGTTTCGGATTCCACATGAGGGCCAGTGACACTGCCCTCTACAGCTAAGATGGTGAACAACAGCTCGACCTGGAGCTGGGCTGCCGAGAGTCGCGGCGACGGCGTAGGCTGCAGCCTGGGCTGCAGTGGGTTGCCATGGGCTACCGTAAGTGGCCAGCAGCCGCTGTGAGCGGCCGTCCAGAAGCCGGCAACTGTCTGCCTCGCCCGGGAAGAGCGCAATGATGGTGCCAACTTGGGCCAGTGAAGCAACGTCCTCCACAACTAGACTGAAGAACAAAAGGACAGTAAATTGTCAGTTCCCCTTCCCCAATTCCCCAATAAAATCTTTAAGAAAAAAAGTTGAGAAAAGTATCCTTCATCATCTAATTTATATTCTCCTTTTACTGCCAGATCAATGAATAACTGATATTCACATCCCTGACTTCATTAGCACTTATTTCCTCAACTCCCTTCAAAATGGCCTTTACCTCTACTGAAACACTCAGAAGTCATTATTGCTATTCCTACTTCATCATATTCAAATAACATTTAATTTCCAGAATATTTTCACATTTCTTATTGCATTTGCTCTTGCAACAACCTTTCACAATAATGTAAAGTGGGTTAGGCAAGCATTATCTTCAATTTTTTCATTCTTAAGTTTTTTTCAAATACTGTATTTAGATTACGAAAGTACATGCTCTCTGCAATGAAATTCAAGTAAACCAGAAGTGCCTAAAGTAAAACAAAATATTTCCTCTTATCCCATGCCAACCCCTTTACCACCCCCCCCCCCACCCAAAGCTCAAGTCCATGACAAAAACACTGTTAACAATTTGATGTGTAGCCTTTGAATATGTTAAGAGAAATTTACACACACACACACACACACACACACACACACACAAAGGATTTTATATATGCTAAAATTTTTTCCTTTCAACAAAAAATGGGGTATAAGTCAGAGTTCCTGGGTATTAACAACAGAAACCACTCTGGCTAACTGAAGCAAAAAAATTAGTCTCAAGAACCAGGCTCGGAAAACAAGCAGGAACCAAGTGAGGGTAGGCATGATAAACCACTGCTGCCACACTCTCCACTCATCAGCAGCTGAGACTCTAACTTCACTACCCCTTCACCTGATGGCAATTGCTTAAGATTCAGAAAGTGGGGAAGCCTCCCGCGGGCTGAGATCAGCTCATATACCCTCTGCTCTAGCAGCCAGGAGGGGGAGACAGAGGGTTTCCCCACAAGGGCTTCTGTGTTCTGCCTCCCACCAAGACTCACACAAAGGGAGATTCTCCCCAAATTACAAAGGTGTTTAAAAAAAATGACGGATTACCACAGGGATCATGTTACTTACATATTATTCACTAATTTATTTTAAATCATGGGCACCTTTCCAAGTCAGTAATATAGATCTGCCTCAATCTTTTAACTAGCTGCATTAGTAGCAACAAGGTTTCCCATACTATGTATCATAATGTATTCAATGATTCCCCAAGGTGGGCTCTGCCTGTTTACAATTTTTATCTACATGTGGATAAAGCCAACAAGTTTAGTACTCCATTCTCATCACTTTTCTCTCGTCTCGTTTCCTTCCTTCCAATGTCACCTACTTTCATGTTTTCAATTATCACCTATGTTTATTACTCTCAGATCTGCGTCTCTTCCCCTGGCTTCTTTGCAGAACTATACCACCATTCAAATATATGTTAGGCTTTACATTATGGCCGATATTAGCTCTGCCCATATTCATTGCAAACTTAGCATCCCTCTTTGCTAGCTTTGTCCCTGCTCTTAGAATCTTTCACTACGAAGAACAGTCTGTTACGCTTCTACACATGATGTCTGATTAGCTGGCTCTGTAGAGGCTTGCTAAATGGAGAAATAAGTCCCTGTCATTACTAATGAAGAAAACTGCCATCTCTATCCCACTGGTCTTATATAGATAATATATGGTTTCCCCTAATATCTACTCATGTACTTTTAAAAGACTTTTATTGCTAAATAATGCATGATACACTTTCCCGGGCAGAGAAAATACCTAATGCACCATTTATATCAAAGGCAACTTATATGTTTTAAGCCACCTAACTCAGGTTAATATCATTGAGAATGTGTATGGCCAAGGGTAGCACAAGATAAAGGTTTGTGAATAAGGGAAAAACAAACATAAGGTTACTGAAGTTTTAAGGAGAATTAATTTTAGTATTTTCATCTTTAGTAACAAGAAATTTGCCATGTTTTTCTCAAAAACGTAATGATAATTACAAAAATCTGCTCTGATCCTTTCTACTCCATTGCTAGTCCAGGTCCTGGCCACCTCTCCGTTAGGGGAGAACAAGGAGAGGTCCTCTTAATACCAGTCTTTTCTTTCCCACAGAGCCTGGATGCTACCTGTGGTTGGACAGAATTATCTTTGAAAAAATATCACAGTTCTGGTCCTTTTGTTCTGCTGCTCAAATACTTTTGGATGAGTTTCCACAGTCTACCTATATAAAAGAAGTTCTTTCAAAATGTCTTAACAAGGCATTTAAGGCCTTATATTATCTGGTATTGACATACATTTCCAACCTTATCTCCCTGATCATAAAGGGACTGCTGAGAAATTTGGAGGAACCAGCACACATTCATGTGACAATGTGCAGGATAGACCTAAGAAAGGAGAAAAGTGACACATTTAAGAAGGGGGCATGAAATAGTTTGACTGCCATAAGAAAGTGAGCCAGGTTTGTAGCTATTTGAGTAGAGAAAGAAGGCCATATTTAAGAGATATTTCTAAGGCAGATGGAATATTGATATCAAGTAGGATATGAGTGATGAGGAAGAGAGAATTATGGGTAACACCCAAATTTTTTGCAGGGGAAATTGTTAAACCATTAAGCAGAGATATAGAAGGCAGAGCATGCTTCAAAGGTAAGAAGGATGTGTAGTGTGTGATAAATTTATTAGATGTGCTTCATTTAAGATGTCTATGGGGTGATAAGGTACCTTAGGCAGTCAGAGGTTAAGGATTTAGAAGTTAAAGCCAAACCAGTGGACAGCCTCGCTGTGAAAGAGCAGAGAGCCAAGAGGAGAAAGGCTGAAATGACCTTTAAGTCTCCAATTATTTTGTATCTTTTAAAATATTTACATTTTGCCTGAAGCTAACAGGTTTCTCAACCCTCAGACTATAAGAAAACTTAAATCAAGAGCCATGGGTGTTTTAGGGAGAGAAAAGCCCATTGAGTTCAGGGGAGAGGTGAGCAGAACCAAGACCTGGTGCTTAGTCTATGACCATTTAATTCTTCTGTTTTTAATCTTTTTTTAAAGATAACTCGTGGTGAGAATCAAGGGGCTTAGGTGAATTGGAGTACTCTCAGTAGGTTTAAACAGAGGTAACATACCTCCAACTTGCTTGTCCAAATTTATTGTTTCCACTATAAAATACCGGGTTGTCGTTAAAGTCATGACATATTTTTTGTTACAAGTTCTTTACATTTACTTTAAAAAACTAACACACAAGAAAGGTTAAAAACCATCTATCCAAATTACGACTACATGCCTCCAGACTTTTTTTCTATGCACTTTTGGTTAAACGTTTTCAATTAAACCGTACAATTTCATATCACAATTTTTTCATTTAACATTATACACTAGCATTTTCCAGTATTATTTAAAAGTTTTAATTATTTTTAGAGGCCACTTAATATTCAATGAAGTTACCCTATTTTTCCTTACTGTAAGACATCTGGTTGTAGCCAACTTTATCCTATTATAAATAACACTGTGATCAGGGTCTTTATGCATAAGGCATTTTCCTCATTTTGGAAAGCTTCCTTAGAATATATTCCTAGAAGTGTCACTCATGAGTCGCAGGGAATATATTCACTCGTTTAAACCCACCCAGGGTCCTCCGCACCCGCCAACCCTCGCAGGCGGGCCCCCCACCATTCTTCCGTACTCTCCGCACACCTGCATGTCTTCCATCCTTCCCCCAAGTGCCGGTCCCTCCACCTGCCTCGCCGCTCACCCACAGACTTCCTACACTCGCCAGGCTGAGCAGCCGTGGAGACAAAATACCTTTGGTCTCACTGCCTCTCAGAAAACCAGACTCCCCGGGGAACGCCCCGACTCACCCAACTTCGGATCCGAAGTCCTGAGCGGGTACCGGAAGTATCGACTCCAAAGCCTCTGATAGGTGAACGGAGAACGAGAAAGCTCGGCAATGCCCCCTACCTATTGGTTTTTGCATGTGTCACGTTAGGAGAGCACTGGCCAATAAACTCGGGCTTTGCCGCACAGGTCTCTGGGAGTTGTAGTCCTCATGAACCCACGGACAGTAAGCCACCACAATTTGTCCCTTAAAAGGTTTAGCGTTTCCCCGACTTCTCATTAGTTCTCTTAGTCAAAGAAGGAGTACAGGAGCCCTAAAGTCAACACGGTTTCTTAACCTTTTTTTGCGGGGAGGAGGAGTCGGGGATGGGAAGGAGTCGAGGACCTCTTCAAAATATGATAAAATTTCCTCAGAAAAATGTTCTTACCTGTATACAAAATATTGTGCATTCCACTGAAGCCACTCCATTGACCTATCCCGGTTACACACCCCCGTTCTACACGTATCCCCAAAGTGCCTGCGTATGGCCATAGCCCATGGGCTAGTGTGTCACTAGGCTTCTTTAGACCAAGTTACACCCCTGCGAGACTCTGGTCCTGACCCTCATAACACAGTTGATCATCATCTTTCGTGGACAACACAGCCAATCCTCCTTCAGCGATGCTGATAACCTGAAGTCTGTGACCTAACCACCTGGGAGAGTTGGGATAGAGAAATGGGGAAAAACATCGTTAGGGCCTACTCTGGGCATCTTTGCTCGACTTTTCTGCCCATGCTTACCTTCCAGCGCCACTTGTTAGAATCATGCCTTCACATAATTTTTGGAACAATGCAGGGGAGAATTAGAAAAAAAAATGTAAAGAAGAAATTTAAAGTTTCATTCGTTCTTCAAGCAAATGCTACTTCCTCCAAAAATCTTTACCGATTCCTGGATCTCTTTTGAGTGGAGGAGGAACTCAAGATAACACTCAAGCATTCATCCCACAGCAGAATCACTCCACGCAGTAACTGTGTCCCTATTAAGACGGCGATTCTGTCTTAATTTAATTGGTATTCCCAACGTGCAGTTCTTCCCCTTGAAGGTGGGAACGCACCTGTGCGTGCGTGCGGCAGAGCTACCTGGGATAGTGCATAAAGGCTTAGAGTGGGTGGAGAAGGGTCAGCAATGGCCCTTTCCTCCCTCCCACTCCACCCCTCCCCTCCCCACCTCCCAGCTTGCTCCAGCAGATCCCTGCAGCCCAGCTAAGGCAGGTACCTCTCTGGTGCTTCCATAACGGAGCCCCATGGCAGTGAGAACATCTAATTAAAGAGTTGGTTTAGTTGCTGGCCTTCCCCTAGCCTGTGAGACGGCATGGATTCCCCAGAGTAAATGAGTGTTGAACGGATGGACAGATGGATAGATGGGTGAGTGGGTGCGTGCGCGAGCGCCTGCATTCCTCCCTCAGCATCCTCCCCCGTCACTGAGTCCATGATCTCTAGCCTGGCTAGGCTCGGGAGCAGCCGCTTCAGGTCAGGGTCCCTCGCCCGGGGCCCCGCCCCGGCCGCCCCCACCTTTCCGCGCTGCTCCGCCCCGTCGCCCCCTCCCCGTGGCCCCTCCCCGCGCAGGTCCCGACTCCCGCCGCACCTCCTCCGGCTCTGCAGTGGCGGCGGGGAGACGAGTCGGAGCGCCAGCGGGGCCGGGGCTGGAGCCAAGCCGGGGTCGCGGCAGAAGCGGGGTCCCTCGGAGGCGGGGCCAGTGGGACTGCGATGGGCGTGGAGATCGAGACTATCTCCCCGGGAGACGGTACGGGGCGGCGGAGCCCGGGGAAAGGAGGGGTCTCGGGAGTGTGGGGGGACGACGGGCAGGGGTCTGATTCGGAGGTGGCGCGGAGGGTGCCCGAAGAGAGGGGCGGGCCTAGGATGGGGGCGGCGGCAGGAGACCCCAGACGGAATTGGTGGCGGTCTAGGAAACGATCCTCCGCCATCCCCTCCGCGCCCGTTCACCTAAGGGAACGAAGGCGGCGGCCAAGAGGCGGGGGCCGCGGGCTGCCGCTGCGGCGGCTGGAACCGCTCAGTTATCCGCTACCGCTCATTTCCCAGGGCCAGGTTTTAGCTCCGCTTTCCCTGCCCTGCTATGTGAGCTCAGGAAACAAGGAAAAGGACACACTTTGGGGTCTCTTCTGCTCGGGACAACTCCCTTCTAAGGCGCCCCCCTTCAGGCTGGCGGTCGGGCGACCGCCTGCCGGCTGGGCGATGCGACGCGGTGGGGACCCAGTCTAGGAAAGGCGCTGCTCTACCCCGCCTCTGCATCTCGCTTTATCCTCCCCGCCCAACTCATCCTCTCTGGCCATCCTGTCCACTCCACTCACATGGCTTTCAGTATCGTCTGCAAACCGATAGCCTTCAAACTTAAGCCCCCAGCCCGGACCCCCGACCTGAGTTCCCGGTGGTCCATTTATCCAGCTGCTGCTCAACCTCTACCTGGATGTGCCACCGATATCTCAAAGTCAGGAAGCCCAAAACAGAGCTCTCTGTTCCCCGTTCCCTACCTCCTGGACTGGCACCACTCACTTCCCAAGCCAGACAGACAGAGGCGTCAGGCGTCACCCTAATATAATTGGGTCTGGGTGTGCAAGGAGTAGCTATGTCTTTATTTCTTAAACAAAATTTAATTCAGACTGGAGCCCCTATTTCTGCAGGATGTGACAGGTAGACTTCACGTCAGACATTACTGACACTCCCCGCCCCCGCCCCCGCCCCCGGAAATTGCTTCCAGACCACTGCTTACTGAAAGGCAGTGTTCCCCGAGAAGTCATCAGTAGGGTACAGCTTCTTTGCCCACGCTGGCAACCATGGTGCTGGGTCCCAGGAAGCATACCCCTGAGAGAACTTGTCCCAGGGCACTGCCATAGGGCTCTGTGGGGGGGGGG